TCTGCCGATAGTAAAATTGTTAGCGGAATTCAAAGCTGTGAAAAGCTCATTGTCGGCTATGACGCACACATATAAGTTTCAATCGCATATGTGATATCCGTGTTACTATTGCTCGTGTTACCACAAAGATAAAAACGCAGAGATGGATGCATAAAGGATCTCTTGTTTCCATTTACGTGAATCGTAAGTTCGTTAAATCGTAAATTTTTATCTACTGTTGTATGACGATACTGTATAATGAATGATTTTTGATTAACGAATCCGTAATCTTTTTTTTAATTCAAAAACAGTTTTTTCTAAGTATCTCGCAGTAATTTGCTATTATACTGTATAATGAATGATTTTTGATTAACGAATCCGTAATCTTTTTTTTAATTCAAAAACAGTTTTTTCTAAGTATCTCGCAGTAATTTGCTATTTGCATAAGCTTCATGATTGATCAACACGATTAGTCAGAACGTCCTGGATGAGCCGTTCGATACATTTCTATTTCTGCGAATGTCCTTTACAATTCGTCTTTCAAGGCAAGACATAGACATTTCCGCAATCCCACCGGAATATTCCTAAAAAGATCAGGGTCGCTGCCAAGCTTTTCTTTTCTTCGGGTTTCCGAGGGGCGGCACACGTACAATCGGCGACAGTATAAGGACCGCGGAACCGGAAACTCCGGTAGGTGGTTAACGGAGGACTTACAATGGACAGAACGTAAGGATCGCATCGGCCGAGTTTTACGGTGCTTGGAAGAGAACTTTTTTCTCGGTCTCTCTCTCGCTTTCGCTTTTAAACGGGCGCACCGTTTTCCTTTCCCGACGTGACGCTCTTTTCCCTCCCGTTGGATTAACTCGATTCTTGTTACCGGATTAAAGGACAGCCCCGCGCGGCGAATTTTTCTCGTCCGAACCATAGTCGGAATTTCTCCACCAAGAAAGTTGAGTCAATCGTCGGCTGTTTAATCCGTTACCGAGCAGCCGGGTAATGCAGTTTGTTGAATTTATTCGGTAAATTGTTTGAGATGCGCTAGCAGGAAGCAAAAAGTATTCGCGAACTTTTGAGAATCTTCACACGTTTACCTTGGCAATTCCTGGGGTCTTTTTCGACCGATTTCAATTCGATGACATTATAGCGAATGACTCTGTGTATAAAATTTTCAGATAATATATGGCGCACATATTGCGCCCTAGATTACTTCGAGCATTATCCCTTTATCTGTGAATTTTTCTATTTACTTTGAATTATTTGTTTCGTGTTCTCTAAAAAATTAACATTAGCTTGCGAAAGAATTTGAGAGAAAAATTAACTGCAGAGCAAAAATTTATTCTCCAGGGGAAAAGAAGGGGATTGATTCTAAATTAACGAAATCAAGTTTAAATTTGGAGGATTAGGCGATAAATCTATATTAGCTATCCTATATACACGGTTTCCCAATAGCCATGACCCAACGATATATTTGTTTCTCGATATCGACGCAAGATAAATGCGGGTCATGCCAGCGTAGATGCCAGCGGCGGTGCGATATCAAAAACCATTTCTGCGGTGGCCACGAGCCAAATATAGATTGCTAACTGTCACTGGACAATGATATACACCACGGTGAAAGGATTTCAAAGAAGTGCACTGTCAACCGTGTATCGTTGGACGGCTTCCTAAGAATTACTGCACCATTTGTCTTCCGATAGTGAGCCGCTTTGCAGATATTACATTGAAGATTCCTCTCAATTTGGTTAATATGTACCCTGGAAATCGCCGCTTTATTAACGTAGACAAATAAAAAAATCTAATAATACAACTGGTAATTGAAATTTATTTTTTATTGTATAAATTTCAATGTATTACGTAATATACATTTTTCAGTGTAAAAGCGGTTAAATTAATTTTAAAAGCTTAATGAAAACTCAACATTCGTTTATTACATTCAGCGGGCACTGTTAAATTAGCAAGCATTACTAAATTAGTTCATTTTTATTCACACCGGTATTATTTATACCTTTATAAATAATTTCATGTTTTTCTTCTTTTAATATGATTTCTGTTATGAGATAAAATATTTTAAATGATATAAAATTAAATTGTGTTTTATATTATTTTAGCGATCCCATATTCGCAATATGAGAGCTGCCTTTGATGACATTTCATTTCGCAGTAACTGGCTGCAACATTAAATTATTTAAAGAGAATATTACATTCGGAATTAATTGTGAATATAGATTCTTTTATATAAATAAGTGTTCATCTGCCTGTATGTTTAGACACGCTTGTTATCGAAGCGCAAGGAGGTTAATCAATAATTCATGACGGCACACAGAGTACCTTCGTTCGGTCCATCCGTTCCACTGTTGAAACGCGGCTCTACAATTTCACGGCGCTACGTTACACGAGTAATTACTGCCACAATTTCAGTTGAACGCGGCACTTAGAGTAATTAAGAGTCGCCGCTCCGCCGTCTTTGCGCGCGACTGAAGATGGTTAGTTAAAAGCTTCTTTTACATTTTTCTTCGTGTCGACATAAATTGTAGGACCGACGTAAAATGTAACCCCGAGGGATTGCAGTTACGCGGAGTCCCGTAAGCTTCTAGGACGTCAGCTGCAGCGACTATCTTGCTTAACTGAATCCTGGTTAGCCCAAGTTTCTTGTATTTTTTTTTCTCAATCACAACTTTGCCTAAATATAGCGCAAGAATATTCAGACGTTGTATGGAAAAAAATTATTTTAAAGAATACTTTATTTGTGTCACACTGAAAGGACACTTTAACTGAAAGATCTGAAAATTGTGCCAGATACAGATCTAAAAATAAATTTTAAACTTTTTAAAATTTATCAATGGAGCACTCGATCTTTTTCATATCGCAGCAAAAAGTTAAGTTTGGACGATCCATAGATCGAGTGCTCTATTGAATTAAAATTTTGAATGTCCAAAATTTATTTTCAGATCTGTATCTGACACAATTTTTAGATCTTTCAGCAAAAATGTTATTTCCGTGCAGTGACGCATTTTTATTTTAGTTTTAAAAATAGAGATTTCACATAACTAAATTCGGATGAAAATAAACAAACTGAGAAATGTATGCTATTTAAAATTCAATCACGCCGATTTTACTCTCTCTGGAATTGTAGTATTTTGCTTCTATATTTTTATTGAGGAAAAATCAACTACAAATTGATAACCTGTCGTTACAATTTAACTTGTTTATTCGGGGACGAATTGTACAATAAAAGCAGCAGATTGGAATGTAATTTTTATTGACAAGTGCAACGTCGCAAAAAATTTATCCCAACTATCGTCCTGGGATTTACCGGTGTCTGCCATCGAGCCGACTGAAGCGCTCTTAGGCGCCAGTATTACTGTTTAAACGACATCGCTCGGATGCAACATCCGGCTTGTGCAGATATCGCAGCATCCGTTCCCGTATTCGTCGCAGTATAGAACGCTCGCGGGAAAGTACTCCGACCGGGACATTTTCCATGAATTAAACATAGTGCGCGCCCGGCTTCTCGGCGCAAACTAGATTCGCAAATTCATTTCACACTCGGCACGCGCGTCGTGCGACCATACTCGAAAGGCCAGGACGTTGTATATGCTGGATTCCCGGAGAGTTTATGAATTTCGGGCCGGACTCTCTCTCTCTCTGTCTCTCCGGCCCCGCCATCGTAATCTAATAACGCTAACTGCTTTATGCGCTCAACGATATGACAGTCGGGAAAATCGGGTTAATCGTACCGGAAACGATAAATGCGACGCGCATAGCTCGGCCATTTCGCCTATAATTGACATTGCTCTCGTAATCACGGACTGGATTTGTGCAGTTCGCCCGTCGCGATCAATAAGCGTAGAAATCACACGGATGAAGAATTCAGCATGAAAATGGTATTTCTGCTTCGAACGCCGAGGTAATTGTGTTTTGCGATTTTAGACGTGGAATTGTTATCGTATTATTTTCGTGATCGCCAAAATTCAAAAATGGAAATTCAATATTATTTTTTTAGTAAACTGTAAACATTATTCTTTATTAATTACTGTTTTTAACACATTTTTCACGACGGATATATTATGACATATATTATAATTATTATAATAAAATTAATAATGCATGTTTAATTGCTGTACATATAAATAATTGCTAAAACAGATTGATAAATTATACGTGCCAATTTATTATTCGTATTATTCGAACTGCGAATTTAGTATTTAATATAAATGTGCTGTAATTATCATCGATATCCGGTCTTCCTGTTTACCGCGTGGACAATGTTCTCGGGTTGTTGGATACTCAGTCATTGGTTCCATGATCAGAGAAAGCGAGCATCCGAGTATAAAATTAATTGCAGCTCGATGCAACGATCTCGGGAATTCAATTTTCACGGGAGAATTTTTCTTTTCTCAGGCTTAAGCATAGTTTTCCCGCTATTAATGCAACAGGTGCGCGATCGGGCACGTCGGTGTATTCGGAAGAATCGGCTATATTACCGTTCAAGCATTGAATTGCGACGATACGACAAATCGCTTCTTTCATGCGGGAAAAACTCTCAATTTGTAATAGAGAAAAGTATGAATAAGTAGAAAGTATTGTAATATGCGAAGAATATGTGAAGATTATGATATTGTTGTCGAAGAAATAGACTGCTGATATATGTATAATATAATTACGATTGATAATATAAGTGGAACGTAATATAAATGTACGTAGAATATAATCGAAAAATTAGAATAAATTTAATTAGAAATTTATTTTTTATTTGTAATTGATCATGATTTTTACAATAATATCATGTATCTTTCGATAAATCATAAACAAATTTTATCCAAGATTTATTCTTTTTATTTTCTAACTGTCTAGCCAACTTATAGTGTAAAAATATTTGGAGTAGTTAATTAATTTATGATATCTTAAACTCGACAATTTACGGGCTCGTATTTTTTTCATTTTGTAAACTCGCGTTGAGAAAACAAGGTGAGAAAAATTAAATTTTAAACGGAAATTCAAGATATTTTCCTTCTTTTCAGGATATCGAACATGCGGACGTGTTGACGGTAGGATTCAACGTGGACGGCGTCGAGCGCGTTCTCGACCTTCGACTGAACACCGATCTAATTCCGGTCGGCTATCAGCAACGCCACCAGCATCGCGGCACGTACAAAGTGCACACCCCGTCGAAAGTTGTAAGTACACTCAGGCTTTCAGTGTTCGCGCCGTGGCGTGTTAACCGCTTTTCCACAAACAACGTCGGTTAATCGATCTCGAGTGAGCGTAATTTTATCAGCATCAACCGCGAGAAAGCGTCGAGGATTCATTCAACTTAACCCACTATTCGCCGCCCTCGCTGTTCACGCATGACTCGCGACGTATCGAATGGCACATAAAGAACGGCATTATCGTCGTTTAATGGTTTGATACGCGACATAAAATTTACGATCGTATACACGGCTGTTCATTCCGCGAATAAAGAAAATAATGGATATATATTTTCTCGCTGGCTGACAATTCATATAATGTTTTGAAAAAAAAATTATATAAAACAATCGTCGCGGATGTGACTTCGCGGATATTTTTCAGATTAGATATTATTTTCATCGTTATGTTTCAACACGGTCTTTCGCTTTCACGATTTGATTTTATAGAGCACAACGAATGCCAGCTAAGCGATCATAAATCACGTGTTTTAGACTGATCTCGCCGCATCACTGCAAAGAGAAATCGAGATTTATTCATTAAACGTATATAAAAATACATAATGTTTCTCATTTCCTCCTTGTGTTTCGGCTTTTAATACTTCTTAGTCATCCTTGCAGATCGGTCTCGCAGTAATTTTATAGGTCGACTCGGCTATAGAATTCATCGACTTTACGATATATCCATGTAAGGAAGGCCGTACCATGCAATTTCATTTTAATTTAACAGAACTCAGAGTCATTACATTGTATTAGTATCCATTAACATTTTATCAAGATTTTCCATTGCTCCTACTAGCAACGTTTACGACATAATTAGACAACATTTTAAATTCTAGACGATGCCTTATCGAATCAAATCGAGATTACGGCAGACGAAAAATTTATTATAATAAATTAATTTTGTTTTGAATAAAGAACTATTATGCTTTTGTAGAGAGCCTGAATCTATTTGTAGAAAAATTTATTGCGCGCTCGGTTGGAACTTCCGGTCGCACGAAAATTAAAAATCTCCACGGATATTTCGTGCTCTTTAATCAAATCTATCTGTCGTCGTCGAGCGGACGGAAATGGTAGGTAGATAGCTGTGCAGGTGTAACGGCACCGCTGAAATCGATCGGAATGAGTCACTCTGTCTGCCGTCTGCATGTTTGATAGAACGTAAACACACGCAAACGTAGCCGACGTGTTGGTCTCAGTGGGCGACGGGAATATAACCCCGTCACGTTAAAACTGTACGCGGTGGTCGTAATGTTTCCGCTTTATAATTCAAATGCCGCGCGGCGAGAGGAGGACAGGAAGGATGAGAAAAAAGGAGAAAAGCTGATGGAACACCCAGAATTAAATTGCCGCAGTCGCGCAAAACGCGAGATTCGTCCAAGAGTTGGAAAGTTTTCCAACTTAATCGTCTAATTTCGCTGTTTATCATAATCTTTTTTTAATTAGCGTTACTTATTGCTACTTATAAAGTAGATAAAAGAAAGACAGGACGCAAAAAAATGAAAAATTGAATATATTAAATATATCCGATATTAAATTGGATATATTAAATATATCCGATTATTCGACATATACCTATTAACGCTGAAAATAGGTTAAATATCGCTCGCTGAACCAGCGATGATCAAATTTCACCGTATTTTACGGAAATTACGAAAGTTTCTGAATTATTCGTCTAATTACAAGTTTTGCCCGAAATCGTGTGATGATTACATTGCTTCGGTGAAAGCGCTGGATTTTACACAGTAACAAAACTTGATGTGCTTTGCTACTTGAACGTAGAAGAGTCTGTAAACTCGATATTAATATGATTACTATTTTCTTATATTTTTATTTTAAAAAATTAATTTTAAATATTTTTAAGTTATTAGTGAATTTAATGTTGGAAATTCTAACATGTAAGGCGTCGATTTATTCGTTTTGAGATAAAATCTTTAGATATATATCTTCATATAAAGCAGGATAATATTAAGGATAATAGAATGTGTATATCAGAAAATACAATATGTCAAGTAGCAAATTATAATTAATAATAATGAATATCAAATATAATAAAAATTAAAAAAAATTTATATTATAATTATTAATAACAAAGACATTGGCTTCTGCTCAATCGATTGTAACATCTTGTTCGATCGCATATAGTCAGCCAATGATGATGAGTACAAAAAGTCATCCCGAATGTGGGACAAAAGTCAAGCGGGAAACGTAAAACTTGTTCGCCGTCAACTGTCGGAGTTCGTTGCGCGCCGGCCACGGTATCGTATTTACTGTTTTGCGCAATTGTATTTAATTAATTGGCGGCTCCGGTTAACGACTCTGTCTTCCGTCGTTCCACCTCTCGCTCCTCGTGGTGTAAATACGGTTTATCCGCGCGGATAAACTAATTTTAAGCTCATTAAAAGAGAAAGTGCGGATATCACGTAGAAATTTCAGATACCGATGTTATTCCGCATAAAGATTTGATGTGCGCTCGATAGACTATAATTTATGTTCGTAATTATTATCGACAATGTACATAAAATTCGAAACACAAATGATGATCGATTAAGCTTTGAATTTTACATAATTTTAAAAATATATATATACGTAATGGCCATCTTGTATTTTTCTATTTGTCGCTAGTCGACTTCTCTGATCGGAAAAATTATTCCTACCGAAGGAAAAGCGATTACAGTCTGTATTATGAGAATATATAGGGTTCTTTTATGCTTTCAACGCGGTTCTAAAATTTACGTCCCGGTAATAAGAACGGCGGCTGTTACGAAATGTATTTTTCTTTCGTTCAGCTCTCATGATATAAATCTACATAATCCTCGATGCGGCGCACACGCGATATTACATTTAATAGAAGCGAGGATAAGCTTTACTGTGGGCGAATACAAAATTTCATATTCCGCCGACACGCCTCGTAACGCGCTTTCCATAGAGCACGTTACGCTCTCGCGAAATTTTTCTTTTACCCGACAATGAATCAAGCTGTGTACGCTTTGTCCGTTTGTTACATCTCGCTAATTATATAGATGGTGAGTGATAATTATCTGTGGATGTTTTATGATGGCTGAATTAAACGCGTAGGTGCGCGCATACGCGATGCAGACAGAAACGTGAATTGAAAATGCTGTGCATTGAAAGTGTAAATATACCAAATTCTTGAACTCTGAAAAAATATATGTACATGAAAAATATTATGAATGATATTTTTGTCTTTCCAGTAAAAATTCGTCTCCAGCTATAATTGTATTGACCTTCGGAATTCGCTGAAATGCGCAGTAAAACACGATTCTCGAATATGTAAATGCTTACATTCTTGCATGATTGAATTTTTTTAGATGCACACACTCTTGCATTAGATACATATTTCTCTATTCAGTGTTTCTCGTTTAATATTTAAATTTCTGAAATACTGAGTTTTTTTTTAGTGCCAAGATTATATTTGCACTACAGAGTAAAACCAACTTTGAATATCATCGAGATTGAAACTTCGCAATGAGAAATCTTGCTGTGACGTTTTATGGATGTCCGGAATATCGGAGCAAAACGAATGAGAACGCGAGCTGTATTGCTGGCAATAAATAAGAGTCGCGGTTTGCATTAAATAATCGATACGACGATTTAATGATATCGACACGTTCCCGTTAACTCAATCCCACCTCGTCGCGTACACGTTTCTACGCGGCAATCAAATAATGGACCGCGATCGATGGTTCCTCGTAACGGAGAAAGCGTCTCGTTTTCAAAGACGATCCTGATACGTCCTGCCTGCGAGATCGTGCCTCTTTGTTGGAGCAATTCCTTTCGGGAGAGTAACGCGCTTGCTCTCCGAAGTAACGGGTCTCCTCCCTCGTTCCACGCGTCGGAAAAAGGAACGTGAAAAATCGTCGAGGTTCGCCGGTAGCGTGTGCACGTCCCAGAATCTGGGACAACTATATTTGTACCGGGCCGATGTGCGATTCCGATGAGAAAACCGAGATAAGCCTGCGAGCCGCGACCGGAGCGCACTAGCATCCTGATTCCTCGACGCGTTATCGCGTGATTTACACGTATCGTGAATCAGATAAAAGTTAAATGACAGAATTAAATGAAAGATTAAGATCACATTAATTGTGCAAATGTTTATGTGATTTGAATACGAATGAATGGAGAAAAACCAAATATAGATTTAATTAAAAGTTTTATTCGCGAAAAGAACTACACGTTTGTTTATTGCTCGATGAATTTGCGAAGGAACGCTTTTTCCAGTTTTCCGCGGCGAGTAACGAAGAATAATTAAAAGCATACATGTGCGGAGTGGAAAAGGCGAATCGCGCAGTTTGATCGAGTTTCACAAGTGTCAATAATTGATAAATGTAAAACTTTCGAGAAATTAAAGAGAAGAAAAACTTTTCAGCAGCGTCGGCTGCTTTAACGAACGATGTTTGCGAATTGCGTGAATCTTGCAGGAACTCTGTCATTACCAAGGCAGCGTTCGAGATGTTCCCGATTCGTGGGTGGCGTTATCCACTTGCAAAGGATTGCGCGGTGTCATCTTCGATGGCGAGAACCTCCACCACATCCATCCAGAAGATGAGAGCCTGGATTCCGCACATTACCTTTACAAACACAGCGATCTCATTGCCAATAACACTTGCGGTAAGCATCTCTTGCGATCCATCGATCATTACTCTATCTGCATATTTTTCGCAAAAAAATATGTGCGTAATAACATGAGAATATAAAGAAAAGAAAGAAAGATTGTTATTATTAGTGTAACATTAATATTTTATCCTGTTAATATAAATAATTATTATATAATTGTTTATATATGCTTTAACTGCATCACTTCGAAAAATCGAGATATTTTTCTGCGAAGAAGATACGCGACACGTGTCTGTTCTTACGAAAGCTAATGAGATTCATCATTAAAGTCTCTCCATGTTTCATGACTAACAGAATAACTAAGTTGTCATTCACAACTTAGCATTCGCGATTTATTCGTGATTTATTCGAAGATTCCGTCATTGTCGCGAAAATTCCCGTTAGCGAAGCAATTTCCGCGGATTTCTTTAAGAGTATTCGCGAACCTCTCAGTAATACTACCGTCAGTACGAAGAAGCGAGCTCGGGTTCTTCTTCTCGGTGCCCTTGCTGCTTCTTTGAACACGCGCGGGCTCAAAGACCCGTCTCGGAAAGACTAGTCTCTCCTTAACGGTCTTAACGAATGTGAGAGCAAGGCCCCGGTCGGAGACTCTTTGTCCTCTCCTCGGCCTTACCTGGAATCCTGCTGCTGACCATCCCCGTTTGATGTTTTTCTACGGTTGCAGGTTACGAAGGCACGCCGTCGCACCTCGTCTCGCCTCCTGACGATCGTGAGATTAAAAGGCTCTCCAGGGTACGTACACAATGTAAAAAAGAAAAAAATTTTGCACAAACTTCTCGGTAAATTGTGCGACTTCAAAGAACGAAGTCGTAAGGGTCTTGTATCCTCGGTGACTTGTGCGTCTACACGCTCCTTTCCTCCGATCTTTTCTTCTTCTTTATTGGAAGAATCATAACAGATATTTCTTATGTAGGGTAAAACAATAAAATATGCGAAATGGTTGGTAGCTTCAGAATTGCTTTGCATTTAGCAAAAATTTAATCAAATTTCTTAAAATAATTAATTAATAATTGGAGATAATAATTTTTGACAAATTAAACTTTAAAAAGAAATCATTATGAAAGACAAAAAGTAAAGAGACATTTTAAAAAATGATCATAATTTAAAAATCAAACTTTTTCGATTTTTTCGTGTAACTTTATATTTTTGCAATGAGTCATTAATTTTAACGAATGAAATTATAATTAATGAGTTTTAGGATTAACGTTATTTTTTTTCTATTATAGCATAAAAGAGCAGCCGAAATTATTCGTGGGCCTTACAATGCAAATAGGCAATCACGCTACGTAGAGTTGGTACTCGTAATAGACAAGAAGGAATACATAGCACTCAACGAGAACCTGGACAAAGTGCATCAGCACTGTAAGGACATCGCCAACATTATTAACGCTGTAAGTGACCGCCGTCGTAATTTAATTGGATATATGATTCCTTTCGACCCCAAGTCGAATGAGAACGATTTAGAGCACAGAGCTCTAATTCAGCAACCTCATTATCCAATTACTCTCATCGCACACCCGCGGTTTCCTTTTCCTAAAATTCGTTGAAATGTATTTTTAACTGCTGCGCCTAGCAGTTGGATTCTATGAATTTTACTTTATCCGAATTAATTAGCTGTTACAACGTTTGCATGGACATTCAAGTCTTATTTTCTCAAGAAAGGAGAAACCTCAAGAGCGTGAGAATTTTAATAAATTTGGTCAAATTTTACCGATAACATTTTCATACTCGTATTTTACTTAAAGTCATTATATTAAAAAAAAAATTTTACAATCAGTATATTGTGTTAATAAAATTAAAATATTGAAAAATTTAACCTTTTCACAATGTTTCATTTTTCAAGATTAAATTTTACCGTAATTAAACTTCGAGTTAACCCGTTAGCATCGCACTCGATGTTACATGAAAGTTGGATCCTGTTAACTAGTTTTCGCGAAGCTTAATACTGCACCGTTCTATTTTCTTTCAATTTATCGGCAATGACAATGATGGATCGCGGTCTGACCTTTAATACCTGCAACGAAGGGAGAGCGGTGCACTCGGTCTATCTCCGTGTTGTCTCTGACACAGCGAGGCAGGGAGATTAATTAGCGCGGACTCGACCTTACCGCGTATCACAGTACACGAAATCCCTATGTAAAATATGAGACGGAGTATCTCGATGTGTTTGCAGCTGTATATGCCGTTGAACATATTCATCGCCCTAGTCGGCGTGCAGGTGTGGTCCGAGTCGGATGAGATAGCAATGTCATCGGATGGCGACAAGACTCTGTCCAATTTCCTGAAATACCGTAGGGAAAAGCTGGTCCAGGACATTCCCAACGACAACGCCCAGCTGCTGACGTGAGTGCGAAACGCGTCTGTAGATAATATAAACGCGCCAGCGAAGCAATGTTGCGAGCATTAGCGAGCCTGATATATCTCTTTTTTTTCGACAACGCAGGCGAATCACTTTCGACAACGGGGTGGTCGGCAAGGCTCTCAAGGGACCGATATGCACCTACGAATTTTCCGGCGGTGTCTCCATGGATCATTCCAACGTTGTCGGCTTAGTGGCGGCTACCGTCGCGCACGAGATGGGCCATAATTTTGGCATGGAGCACGATTCAGCGGATTGCAGCTGTCCTGAGGATAAGTGCGTCGTAGCCTCTCTTTAATCTTTTCCAACGTTTGAGAAGGAATTTTATTCTTATTCGCAATTTGCATGAAGTTGTGACAAAAAAATTAATAAATTTGAAAATGATTTGGAAGATTAATTTGGAAAAAAATTTTGTGATTGCTCGAATTATGTTTTCTGAAGAACTGTTATCTTTGTGCGATATATCTAATTGATTAATCGGTCAAGATTTAACTACATCGTTATTCTATCATGCTTTCAGATGTATAATGGCATCGTCTAGCGGTTCGTCCGGGCCAACGCACTGGTCAACATGCTCACTGAATCATCTAGCTGTCGCCTTCGAGCACGGCATGGATTACTGTCTGAGGAACAAACCGCAGAAGCTGTTCGACAGCCCCATATGCGGCAACGGATTTGTCGAGCCGGGCGAACAGTGTGACTGCGGCCTGAAGGAGAACTGCGACAATCCTTGCTGTAATGTAACCACCTGCATGCTGCACAGCAATGCGAGCTGCGCGACCGGTGAATGTTGTGACCTGAAGACTTGCAAGCCGAAGAGCGCTGGCACAGAGTGTCGGAATGTCGAGCATGAGTGCGATTTGCCAGAGTACTGCACGGGTCAGAGCGAATATTGTCCGGCGGACGTGTTCAAGATGGACGGTGAGACTTGCAACAGGGGCGAGGCTTTCTGCTATCAGGGTTCGTGCAGGACTCACGACGATCAGTGCAAGTTGTTGTGGGGTCCCACCGGATGGTCCTCCGACGCGCAGTGTTACCAGATGAATAACAAGGGAACGAGGAACGGTAACTGCGGTTACAATCGCATTGACTCGAGCTTCATCAAATGCAACGATCAGTAAGTCAATTATAAAATATTAAAATAAAAAAATATACTACGGAAAACTGGATTTTAATACGGATGTACTGTATAGAAATCTTCTCTGCGGCATGCTACATTGCAAACACTTGAACGAACGACTAGAGTTCGGAATGGAATCAGTCGCGACGTTGAGCCATTCTTTCATCAATAACGGCGGCAAAATAATACCGTGTCGTTCAGCCATGGTCGATCTCGGATTGAGCCAGACCGATCCTGGACTCGCACCGGATGGCGCAAAATGTGCACCTGGCAAAGTGAGATATTCACATCTATTTGTGCCTAACTATTAAGTTTTAATCTTTTGAGCGTAAAATAATTATGTGGAATAATTGATTGATCAAAAATGATAAAAAAAGAAATAATGAAACTCCGAAACTAATGATCTGATACAAACATTTGGTACAATGTATGATTTTGTTACAAATATGTATATACCATAATTTCAGATAAATCAATTTTAAATAAAATCAATAAAGAGCGTAAAGAGCCACAATGCTAGATCTTCGTGCGAAGGTTATGATATATTCGTTAAAAATGTTTACAAACGTTTCAGCCTGCCATCAGGCCTTCTTCAATGTACAAAATAAGAATCCGTGTCGTTTTGATTGTTAAGCCCTGCATTTTGTCTTTTAATAAAGACCATTTCAGAAATCAGTTATTAATTAATACTATAGTCGTTAATTAATACAAGTACGTTTATCTCTTTTCTTAATTTTACCTTCTTTTTATTTTATTTATTTTAACTATTATTGTATTCTTTTGCATCTATTGCAGTCCTATCTAATTTATTAACAAACAACAATATGGTCGATAAAGGATTGCAAATACGTCTTCCACATCTTTTAATTATTTAATCATTGCGAGCGAATTTTATATTTTATTGTTTCTTATTTTGTACATTGAAGAAGGCCTGATAGCAGGCTGAAACGTTTGTAAACGTTTGTAAACATTTTTAACGAATATATCATAACCTTCGCACGAAGATCTAGCATTGTGGCTCTTTACGCTCCTTATTGATTTTATTTGATTTAACAATCACCAGAGCCTTATATTCTAATTAATTTTAAATCAATTTTATTTCAAATATATAACAATATTATATAAAACAAGGAATTATTGTATGTAATTTTTAAATAATTATTTTTTTATACAGATGTGTGTGAATCAGAAGTGTATGTCAGTGGAGGATTTGAAAGCATCTGTATCTGGGGGTAAAGCTTGCCCGAACAATTGCAATAGTAACGGAGTGTGCAATAGTCTTGGTCATTGCCACTGCAATCGTGGCTTCCGACCACCCGACTGCCTTCATCCTGGAGTAGGAGGCTCTGAAGATAGCGGCCCAGCCGAAGATCCTAATGGTGAGTGCTTTACTTAAATCTATCAAAACAATTAAGAAAAAGCAAAGATTAACAACTGTTATTAATTATTTTGTAGGTATCTGTATGCAACAAGTTTTTCGACAGATTTCTGTACTTGGCACAATTTTTTTAAAATCTTTTTTAAAAATCTTTAACCTTGAAATATTCCTCGAAAATGTAATAATCACATCAATTTAATATATTTGTTTTATTATTTTTTTTCATTATTTCTACTGATCTCATTTTACGTATTACATTCGCATTTATATAAATTACAATTCACAACAGTTTTTCTTTTTACAATGTACCTCCATATTTTCTCATCTCATAGACATTAAACTTTCCATTAATAAATAAAAATAAAAATATTTTTATTATAAAATACTTGAATGGACTAATGACTAAATCTATTGGGAGCTGGATTGATCCAGACCCTACTGAGATGCGATAAATCGAGGTACTTTTTCAATAATCGTCTCGCGTATTGTCATGACCTCGGTGCACGTGAACTGAGCGCGAGACACGACTGTGTCTTGATAATCTGATGTACATTTTATATACTTTTCAGCGAGGAACGATTTTATAACCGCGCTTTACGTTATCTTCCTGGGAGTGGTGCCCGCCGTAGCCCTGCTGCTACTCGGAGTTTGGTACGTCAGGAATTCCGGACAGCACTGGAAGAAGGATGTGATGTCTACGTACGTATCTAGTCTCGGACGTTTTACAGAGAAACGCAAACCGCATGTTAATAAGTCACTCGCTGTGCCTGCGTCAAAGACACATTACATCGCCGGTAGCAAATTTTTTGGTGTGATCTCCGCTTATTTCGCGCCGAAGCAAACGAATATTTCCCGTAACGCGGGCAATAAAATATTCACGATCAGCGACGATAGTGCCACGCTCAAAAACTCACTTCAGATAACTAAAACTAATTTGATATCTACCACCAATCCGGATGCTATCAAGTGTAGCAACAATATCGAGTACAGAAAGTCGTTATTGTTCGGCAATGTAAAGTCGGATGTTAGCGTAGAGCCCCAAGTGCGGGATGGCGTTGCGATTCTCTCGGTACCGGCCGTTGAAATTCAGTCGAAGAAAGTCCCTCCACTTAGATTGGAATTAGGCTCGAAAATATCAGAGCGTATCCAACAGCTTCAGAAAAAATCGCCTAAGAACGTCAAAGGACTCACGCTCAATACCGAATTTAAGTTCGAGCATTTGAATGAGAGTCCAGCCAGCACATCCGACATTACTCCGAAATCGGCGGATATATTCAACAATACAAAGACGCCTGCTCCGTTTTACAATAAAAAACCACCGCCCCCGCCGGCACCTGCTCAAAGCTTAAAGCCAAAGATCTGATTTTCATTGTTGTTTGCCTGCATGAATCTCATCGCGCGTAAATACGTCGCGTAAAAGTTTACGTATCATTATAAAAATTTAGTATTTGATTTAATATTTATATGTGTTGTATTATTGATACTTGTAGATCTTAAATCTGTGTTTTCTAGACTATCTATGGTAATAGAGCTTGAGATTGGAAAAGTATTATTCCAATTAAAGTTTATTACTTGTAAAAAAATAAACTAAAAAAATTGTTAGATCTTATCAATGTTGAGAACATGATAACAGATAAAAGAAAAATATCAAGGAGATATAATTTATCGACTTGAATATGAGATTACATTTAAGAACAATTTTATCCGTTATAGTGCAAGTATCGTAGCGCACTTTTGTGCGAGCTATGATCTTTGCATTATCATAGAAGGGGACTCGAAAATGGTGGTGGTATATAGAATCAATATCTGGACATAATAGATGCCAAAATGCGTTAAAATAATTTCTACTGTGATTCCAACTAGATAATATTACGCTTCAAAATATGGTTAGACAAAATTAATATTTTTGCACAAATTTTAGATCGAGAAAACGAGATTAATATCAGCTAAGAATGACAATAGATATTTATCATGTGATTGAATCTGTTCAAAACAGATTCTCTTATGTAATGAATGCGAGATATAAAGTTTCGCATGTAGTTTGATGTGTACACTTTTTATTTATTACTTCGAATTTAATATTAATGCATTTTTGGTGCAATATATACGTTGATTGATTTTTGCGTTAAGTAAATGCGCTGCGCGTGAACTTGGCACGAGACACTACCGTGTCTCTTGATTTAGAAAATTTAAGAAAGTGAACAGTATTGTGTTCTTATCAATTGCTCACACATAAACTTACTTCGATTTCTAAGGGTTTATTTTACAAATTGCATATTAATTACATAAGTAACGTAGGAGTTATACGAATAATTTTTATTGGCACAGCATTATTATGCACACGTACACATATGTACAATATACTTTAACAACGAGGATAACACAAATATTTTATTGCTATTTCTACATAATTTTCAAATTATTAATCCGTTAAGGCTATGCATATTACGATTAATATCAAATAAAATAAACTTTGCAAAAGAAAATACTGTTCATTTTGAGCGACTAACGAATTTTTACATATAAATCCAATCTTTTTTAAAAGATATATTGCGCCATGATAAAGGCAGAAAGATTGTTGACAAAAGATTTTAGAGCATGTGAAGAACACCATGTTATACGAGCTATGAGCATGAATGAAGATTCTTTTCTTACTGGCTTTGCATTTTACAAAACTGATAATTTAATCACTAAATTGAACGTTAAAACAATCAGTTTTAATTATCATTTCTTGTTATATTAATGATCTGATGGATATGATATTAGTGATCTGATAATAAGAAGTACTTAATTTCTATTAATAAGTAGAGACTTAATTCTTTACTCATTCCTTGGATGTGAAGAATGGACATCCGATAATGTTACTCATATTTAGAAATAAAATTGTACGATTTTATTATTAAATAAATGTAGTATCGATAAGACGTGTTTTTAGTCTTCCTTTGTAATCAACGATTTCCTTTTTCTCCAATGCTTGCTACTAACGTCTTAATCAGTGACTAATATCTCCCAGCAACTTTCTTGCCTGTGCATGACTGGACTTGCGGTAAACAAACTAAATATTTGAGAAGAATGCTTACACATGATTTTTGTTTAAGCGATATTTGGAGTACATATACATGCAACTAAATTGTAGCATGTAGTAAAAAAAATCTAAAATTTATGTTACTTCTTTGTTACTTATGTTACTTTGTGTAGCTTTGAATATTTTGACACATTATGCTTCGTTATCAAGATGTGCACAATAAGCGACATATACATGAGTACTTTTTTCTAATTTGTGCTAAACGAAAAAAGATTCTCGCTTAAACCTATTCTGCTATCAGCCAACGTATACTCGCTGGTCATTATGTATCATAATTACGCTTGTAAGTTCCCCAGTTCCTCCGCTTATAATTTTGCTTCGAATTTCAGGACCGATCGTGGCCACAATGGATTGCTAATCAAAACGATCGATCGTTCCAGCCCCATATCTCGTAACATCGAAACGATCGACTCTAGTTTGAATCAAGATCCGGCGTGCGCGAGTCTGCTACCTAAAACAGATACGGACGAGCGCTACAACAACAATATGTTCGGCCAGTTCAAAGGTTTCACGATCACGCCGATACACCCGAGTCAATCCAAATTGATCGAGCCAACGAAACCGGCCCCGCCTCCGCCAGGATGGATACCCACCGTAGCGATCAAGACAAACGTAACGAAGCCAATCGTGCAAAAGTGCAATGCGCCGCAAAGGAGCAATCTGTTAAATCCTAACATCAGCGAATCAAATTCGATCGCGCCGGCATTGCCGCCGTTGAATCCCGGATCTACGGCGCGGCCGCTGATCAGTAGTCCTGTATTGGCGGCCACAACCTGCACATCCGTCGAACTGGTAGCCAAGATACCCACAAGACCTGCCCCGGATATACCTACGCGTGCAGCACCGGCACCGCCTATCGCTTCGACAGCCCTTCTGAAGCCGCAGAGACCCAACAGCACTCCTTTGACGAATGTAATCCTACCGGAGCCTGAGAAGAAGCCGGAAAAGGGCAGTACGTTGAATCGAATCGCGTCGATGTTGCGTCCCGGATCCGGGATCATGAGAAGTAACTTTCAGAATTCGCAGAAGGATGACAAGAACACAAATTCTTTGCCGAGGAGTCAACATCACAAAGCCAACAAGGTCATCGACAAGGAGATCTTGAGGAACCTAGAGATTTCCAATCCAATACTGCAGAAGGAGATCGAGATTGCGACGCCGGTGATCCCGGTGATACCGGCGGTCGAGATCGAGAAGAGGAACGTGGTTCTGCGAGCGCAGTCGATGAGGGACAGCAAGGTCACACCGAGAACTCCGATCCACACGTTCGGTTCGATGCGTCAGACGACACCTGTCAAGAGGCCCACCAGTATCCCGGCCAGCGTGAGGCCGACGTCACCACCTCCGGGTCCACCGAACACCGCGCAGACGGAGAAAGCCGCCGAGAACGCGATAAAAATTCCCGGACTGCCAGGCTACCAGAATCCGCCGATGATAGCTGCTCAGAAGCCGGTGGAGAACACTTACGACGACTGCATGAACCTGATCGCGGAATCGTCCCTGACGAAGATCACGGAGGAATCGCCCACGAACGACAACATCTACGCGGTGATAGAGGAATCCGTGCCGGAGAAGAACAGGAAGAACGCGGAGACCACGCAGACGGTGGATAACGAATACAAATTGCCAAAGCGCATCGACGCGACGTCCGCTGGTACGAACAGCCTCGAGTCGATGGGTTTACTGTCGGAGATCGTGTCCGAGATATCGAATCGCAATTTCGACTCCATATACTCCACCTCAACGCTAAGCAGAAAGAAGAAGGAGAAGAACGGGGAGAACGTTCCGAAGAGTCCGGAGAATATGGGCTCCAACAGTTCCTTGGGCGGCTACATGAATTCAGGCCACTACAAAACACCCGGGAGCGTTTACTCGAACTCGACTTCCGGTAAATTCAATTCTTCGAGCTCCACCACCAGCTCTGGCTACCTTCATCCATCCGTGATAAACGTCCCGCAGGTGCACAAAAAGGAGTCGAACGAGAATCCATCGGACGCAAACGACAACGTGACAGCAGTCGACAAAAGCAAACTGAACACCCTCAAGTCTGATAATCCGAATATAAACGACGAGCTGTCCAAGGAACTCGGTATGAAGCCGCCTGAGAATCCTGTAGGATACAAACCGTTCGCGCCGTCGAAAACTCGACCGTCTCATTTGATACATATCAAAAAGGACGACCAAGGTGAGAGTAAAGTTAAACCGTCGTTGAGCAGGACTAAGACACCTCCGAACATCGCGAAGAGTCCGACTCTGAAAGAATCGGCCGAGTCGAGCGTAAAACTTGCGAGACAAAGTTCAGATAATACGTTAAAATCCTTGAAACCTTCGAAAACTTGCGACGCGAATTCGGCGACGCCAAAGCCGAGTTCGGACGCGAGTCCAACCGTGAGACAAACGCAACTGAACGCGAGCAAATCCAACAGCGACTTGGATAAAGAAGAGTCGCAAACACCCGTATGTGTAAAAAATGTGCCTTGTAGTCCTAAGAATAATCCGGGGAAGTTCAATAGCCCGGATCTGGTGTCGAGCTGTTCGAACTCCAATCAGGGCGGTACGAAGTCGCCGGACGTCGTGGGCAGCAATTCCAAGTTCAGTCTCCCACTGAAAACCGTTCAGAAAACACCCACGCTGCCGAGAGGCGGACAGAAGACACCCACTACACCATTGAAGCCTCTAAACATTACGTCCAAAGCAGCTAGTCTCTCGGAAAGAAAGAAGTCTCCGACCGGCAACGCGAATGTGACGAAATCGTTGTCGCCGTCTGCCAAAGAACCGAGTAACGGCGGCACGAAGACGTCGCAGTTAACGTCGAAGACGCCCACCAAAATGGAAACCAAAAATGGGGACGGTGGTGCAGCTGCGAAGACGAATCCACTGCAGAGAGCTGCGAACGGTAAATCCAACGTGGCGTCGCTCCAGCAGAAATTCGAAGCCAACAAGAACAATTCCGGCGTCACGAGGATTATAACGAGTGCGAGTAAAAAGCCGGTGGCGCGAACGACGGAAGTGAACGGCGGCGTGAGGAAATGAGTAATCATCCGGAGGAGAAGCGAGAAAAATCCACACTTGAAACATTCTAGTCCATCACTGATTCATTCTCAGTGGAGTATGCGAGGTATAAGCGGGTTTGCGAGGTGAAAACAGTATGCGCGTTTATACTTGACGAAAAGCATGTGCAAGTATAAACGTAGATACGAAGCGCTGTATCTCTGTAAACTTCTATATTTAAGAATTCTTAAACGGAAGTTGGAAAAAATAGTACAAGGAACGAATCTTTCCTCTCTAAGATCCATAAAAACGCTTATTTTATGAGCGAATATTATATTTCTTGTCGGAATATTAAGATGGATCACGCGATTAAATGCGACCGCTGCGTATAAGAGGCGTGGCATTGAAAATTGTAAATAATATCCACTTAAAAATTCTCATATTTTTTGTAGAGACTATCCATTGCCGATGTTCGAAGCGTACATACACGATAATTGCCAATAACTACCGTAATATTTATCGTAAGCGTTTTATAAGCGATATTACGAGGTGTAAGTGACATTATTTTCGAAACCTTCGCTTGAAACTGAAAAGGGCGTGTACGAAATTAATTGACCTCTGTGATATATGTGTATGTATAAAGAAATGTTGCACACTCACACACAAACACAACAGAAACACTATACGCTACATTGTTACGACTAGCAGGCTATAGATGCGACCAAATTATTTTATATCATACGACATAACTACGGATTGTGTATTAAAAGTTGGCGCCGTTAAGTTGAAAGCCATCGAAAATCGCAGTCATATCTGACAGGCAGACGTTAGCTTCGTTAATGGAAGGTCCTTCTTTCCAAAGATTACTGTATAAAAAGGTACGAAATTATGCCGTGAAAATTCCGCGGGAGTCAAAACTGAAACATCGTTAGTTAGGAGAGTCTAGGTATTAGTGTTCATCAACACCGTCGAATCGAGCAAAGATGATATTTTCTCGATAGGCAAAACTATAGGCTGGAATCATTAACCATTTCACCTTTCAGTCGCGCAGCATCACGCCTTTACATTATCATTGTTCTCCGCGTAAATTAGTAACAAAGGGCTTGCTTTAGATGCAAAGACTAAAACTATTTATTTGACTGATCCTTGTAAATATGTTCATAAGATAGAGATATGTAGGAGATAAGTAAAATTTTGTACGATGTACCTTCGCGCTGAATAAATTAAGTTGTAAGTTACCCTTATATCGCGAGAAATAACTTCAAATTTATTCAACATTTACTATTAAGTTAGGAGATTTTATTGAAGTCTTAGAGCTGGCTATGTGTTTATGCATTTATTCTTTCTCTTCCGCGCAGCGGATTTCTCTTTGTATGAATCCAGTAAAATATGTTTTTTATCCAGTCTTTTATCCATAGTATTCAGTTTGTAATAGTTCCTACGTACAAGTGTTCAGATCACTCTTCTGTTTCACTATAATTCAATAAAGCTTTTTCATCATTTATTCGCGTTCTCTGCTTTTTCGCGCTTGTTTCTTTATAGATAATCATCACATGTGTTACTTTATTGAAAGGACAATCAAACATTCGTTTAGTATATGCATTCAAGGAGAAAGCTTACTTCAGCCCGTTATTAATAAATAAGTATTATTTATAAGAAGACGACTTAAAAAAAAAAAGAAAAACAAATGCAACTGAAGCGCAACGAGTGATCGTATCAATTGCTATATAAAAATATTCGACGAATTGGCTAAAATACAACGATTGTTAACGCGTACAGGCAGAATAGCCCACGATGATTGAGTTTTACAACGCTTTGTCTATTAAGTAACAAAAACTAAGCATCGTCGCAATACATGTCGCAATATTGTACATTCGGTACCAAAGATAAGTAGCGTTCTATCTACAACACTGCTGAGATAAGTACTACAATAATTAATTACTTAGCCAATAATTAATTAATGTGTACATTACCTAAACCATAATGATGTTACAATAAAGTCTTTATTCCAATTATTTTTTACTGCCTTTTGCATTGCTTTTGTATTTTAAAAGACAATTTAATTAAATTGGTCTGCATTGCCGAAGAAATGCAATGAAACATTTCGCGCAACTACACTGTAGAGTGTATAATAAATTATAATGGCAAATTTAATTTTTGTTATTATATTATAGCTATGCTATATCGTTTCAAACCTACTAACGCATCCATGGTTTTTTTTTTACCATAATATATTTTACTAATATAATTAACAATTAATACTAATAAAGGGAGAGATAAAATATTAATATTTCACCTAATTGCAAAATTTAACAAAGCTAAAAAGATTTAATTTATGTAGGTGCATATTTTTTTTTTAATAGATGCAAAGTTGTGTTGTACAATAATTTTTTTTTTTTTTTTACATGCAGTTGTTTACAAGAGGCAAAAAGATTAGAAGAAAATGTACAAAAGAGGACAGATAAGAAGAATGAAACGCAAAAATATTTACATGAAGAGAAATACAAAAAAATAAAAAAGAACTCAAGAATGTGATCTAAAATCAATTGTCTGCGGCGGGGCAGGCGCAAGCGCAGAGTAGAAATCACCACGCCACTGAATTCTTACATGACCTAACAGTTGAGATGCCGCCATCGTCTAAATAAGATCTACTTTGCAAAAAGTGACAGAGAGATACGTGTTTCTAACGAATTTCTAACGAAATTCTGCAGTTGCAATCTCACGATTGACAGAGCTTCATGTTGTAAAACTCTGATCGACTGTTGGTATTGTTCCATCAAACGGTTAACTAAGTCTGTTCTTACACTCGTCTTGCCTACATACTGGGTCAAAAAAATTGATTGAAAAAAAAACTGTACATCGTTGTGTGAAATCCACGAAACCGCAAATTGTGACGAAAATTACTATATCAGAGTTGCGAATCATGACATTAATTAGACATCAATCGTAATAACTTTAATTCGTAAGTATGAGTTTTGAAATATCGCCTGCAAAGACACCTAAAACATGGTTAGTTACATGCGGGCTCTGATGCTTTATTACTTAAATTAGGCTAACCTACGAATTAATTTCTCTGCATGCAATAGTAGCTTCAATCCGTTCGCTCCGTAGATATTGCGTTTACGCAGTTATGCTGTAATTGAATAGACAAGACTGAATCGTTAACAATTTGGAAATTGGTACTTTATTATGCTCTATTGTGTTTTAACCAAATTTTTCTAAATTACAGGAAACCTTATATTATTTCTCACATGTTAATATGGTAAAAATGACGCATCATATAGCACCCTTTGCAGGAGTATCTATGTGTTCAACAAAGCATAAAGTAAATTTGCTGCATAAAGTCGACAGCGGAGTTACTTGGCATGTAAGTTCCATAAATAGTATTGCATGGCTTATTGTTAAGAAAAAATGAAAATGATTGTACTCCCATAGTGACAGGAGTACGATATTAAGTGATAATGGAACAGAGTAGTCAGCCACATATTGTGTGTCGCACAATTTTATACTCTGTTACAAAAGAGAATGACCTCGATTTTTATCTGTCACTCAGATTTCTTCCTAGAAATAGCCTACTGAATACTAGATAAACACTATCATCTCATGATAATGATATTTAAAATGCATTTATGATTTATATAAATAGAGTGAATTTAAAAATAAACTCATTTTTTTCTGAGTATACGCAATTTTTAAGAACTTTGACTAATATGATTTATTGTTTGTAGGTCCAGTCGGAGAAAATGAAACGCCTTCAAAATCAAAACAATATAATTAAAACCAATCCTCTCCTAAAAACGATGGAAAATGAATTTAGGAATAAGAATGATATGAACACAACATTGAAAAGTATAAAAGCACCTGAAATCTCGATAGTTCCTGTGAGGATATCGAACGAAGAAAATGATGCTAATCTACTGCCTTCAAAAATACAAGACAAAAAATCGGAAATTGTCCTGTTTCCCATTCAAAAGAAACAATGCGGTCACTATGAACCATGTGAAAACATTATTTGCGAAGTAATGGTGCAGCAATACGTGGAAAATGACGAGGCATCACCGATGTTAGCAGTAAGCATAGAAGAAGACGAAATAAACGCGCCAGTTACGAAGCACTGCGAGAACAAATATTGTGATGCATTGAGTATCGACCACAATCGTTGTCGTCAAGTATTAATAAAGTTATATAGATGCGATAAATCTTATAAGTGTGACATTTGCGAGATCGTGTTAAAAAACTGGAAATCTCGGTTACGTCACAAGGATTGCACAAGACAAGACGAATATATACATAACAATGTGAACAGAAGGGATTTGTTGAGGGAGAGAATGCGCGAACGAGAGCTACAGATCTTGGAAATTGTAAAAATGAAAAGGAACGATTATTCAGATCCCGCTAAAGCGATAGAAACCTTGCAGAAGAATGACGAACTGATAGTTATCCCGAAAACAGCGCCTAGTCAACAACCGATCATCACTATAACTTCGATACCTGGTCTCCAGTCGACTAATCTGTCTAAAATTCAACCCATCAAAATTAATTCATTGAAAAATGATATCACAAATCTCTTTAGAAATGTTTCCTTCACGGTTACATCACAAAATACCACAAATTGCGGCACGTCACAGCCGGTGGAAAGTAAAATGCAATCATTGCAGATAAGTCAAATAAATTTATCAAATCTGCAACGGAACACATTCGTGACTTCGACCCCTGCCGCAACTCCTGGTCCTGTTGTTATTCCTACACCTACTGTCATTTCTATTCCCACTACTAGTTCTACTTCTGCCATTCCTACTTCTTCTATTCCCGTTCACGCTACCATCCCCGTTTCCATTCCTGTGGTGTCTCAACAGAATAAATACGTTCGTCTCGCAACTCCGGCTCAAGGTAACACCACCGGTCAACCCCTAACAGGATGGATCGTATCGCCGACGCAAACCCCAACGAATGTTTTATCGACCACGCCGATTCAACTTAAGCCGGTCTTAGCGCCTATACGCGTGATGCCTATAACAAAATTAATAACCGCTCCGTCATTGTTACATCGCACACAAGGTATCCCTAAGTTTTGCATCATGGCGATCCAGAATCCAACGACCGTTCAACAACCTTCTGCAGTTACTGTTAATACTACGTCACAAGAAAAGACCGACAAGAAAAATGAAACATCAAAAGTTCAATTGCACTTCAACAGTTTTCCTAAAATTAACAGCAACGTCAGTTTGTTTCAAAAGAAGGAGAAAAGGACTTTTTCTTGCTCCTACTGTGGGAAAAGCTTTACCACTGACTGGTATTACAAGATGCATGTCGCGAGACACGAAGGTGAAGACAATTTAAACTGCAAAAAGTGCGGAAAATGTTTTAGCACTCTTGAATATAAGGAGAAGCACCTTTTTAAGTTTCATTGTTCAAGGTGCGACTATATTTATAAATCACACGCCGATAGAATAGACCATCATAAAAACGTCCATTATAAAACGTGCGTAAGTAAATCTGTCAAATCGATAAAGCGAAAGCTACAGGCAAAGGATGTAAATCCTACTATTAACAATATACCCGAGAAAATTATCAAGAAATCCAGAAATAGCCCTAAAAAAAATAAAGAAGTATCTGTTAATGGAAAAACGACAGAAGACAATGACGAGTCCCTTAAAAGTACAGGTATTGAAAAGTGTGATAACAAGGAATTAACGATTAAAAAAGACGATAATACAAACATGAATGGACACTCTTTCGGTTCTGTAGAAGAAAATATCGATTCTGAAAATTTCGAACAAGAAATAGTTGTTTCGTGTTGATGAAACGTGCAATGGATTTTATTATATCTGCATTTTATTTTTCTAAAACTAGATTACATTTTATTTTTAAGAATCGTTCGTTAAAAAGTCTGAAAATGTATGGAAAAGAGCAACTGAGAAATTATTCTATTGTACGACCAAAAAGCGTTAAATGTAAATGTTGATACGTGTTTTGTGCAGTGCGTGAGTAAAACATTCGTAAAAAGATTAATTTAACATGTGATACTTTGATATATAAATATCGAATATGCTTTTGAATTAGTCGTGTGATAACGATATTATATGAATATTTATAAATTTCTTTCGATATAAATAGACTTGGTTTTACACGGTCATACTTTAGATTATAGCTATGAATATTTCAGATTATATTTTCGCTGCATAAAGTTTTTTTTTACATTCTCATATATAAATAATTTTTAGATATTTGTATCTTTGTAGATCAAATGATATTTAATACAATGGAAGATAAATAGTATTATTTTGTGCAACAATTGATATATAATTTGTAATTATTGTAAATGATGAAAGAGATTTCTTTAATAAGGTAAATGTACTTTTTACCGAACTGCTCCAATTTACCGACCAATTTACTATTTACGTTAAAAAATAATAGCTGTTAACAATACGTCGGATCGTACTGTTATTAAAAAATAATAGCCGTACAGATCGTTAAAACAACTGATTTCGTTGCATAAAACTTCATGCAATATATTCTCAGTTGTTTTGACGATCATACTGTTAACGGCTATTACTTTTTAGCGTAAATAGTAAATTGGTCGGTAATTAGAGCAGTTCGGTAAAACGTACATTTACCTTAATCTATTTTCGATAATTGTCTCGATGTTTATAAAAATTAAACTGAAAAGATATCAATTAACAATGTAGCTATCATTAAATTTGTAAAGTTTTTAAGGCATCACAATTTATTTTGACTTTTTAAAATATCATTACTTATCAAGTTAGTATATCTTTTACACTATTTTCAGAAAATTTTAAGACATATGTGACATGTTAAATCTATATGAAGCATCACGCGAACAGTCATGTATTACAACTTTTTCATTTAACATAATGACATATAATTAATCTTATTAAATTAAGATTAATAAACTGTGATAAATTTTTTTTAAATGCATTCATACCAGTGTTGTATTCATTAATCTTTTTTAAGAGGTTTATTGATCCATTAATAACAACAAATTAAATTATATATAATTGATTAAACAGTTTACATTATGTTTAACGTTTTAAATAAATTTCGCTTAAAAAGTTATTTTTTTCCGTTCAAAACACAATTGTGAAAATAGAAATCGTACAATTCACTGGCATATTAAGGCATTTAATAGTAAAATATAAATAATTGCTGTAAAATAAATTGACATTTACACATTAATACATAATTTATGTGTAAAAAATACGTTAGTTTGATAAGGTATAAAATCGGATATTTTCCGAAATAATTATAAGTTTAGTTAGCACAGATTAAAATTTGTATAAAAGACAATTTTTTTCAATTATAAATTAGTATGACGCGAGTTACAATACCATTTTTTATGTTTTATGCAAAGAGGCATACAAAAATTTATATAAATTATTTTTATTTATCAGGTAACCCTCGTATATACAATATATATAACACAGTACTTAGAGAACGTGATTTTGATGCAACACGATATGAAAATTGCGCGAACCCTCATTTAATATTATAAATTCTTAAAATCATTAAAGATGTTTGAAACAAGAGTTTGTTATTTTTTTTAGAACAGAATCTCATGTTTTGTATTATTTCATGATATGCATCACATATAACAAGGTTTTGTTTAATTTCGTTTAACATCACATGAATTTTCATTGTACGAGGGTTATTGTACTATGATATATGTAGATGTATGCACAAGGTATCCATTATTCCACTGTTTTTATATTTAAATATCAGTTTCTTTTTAAAAACCGATATCTTTATATTACTCTATATATTATAATATATGCCTATATTATATTATATAAAAAAAAATATATATATATAATATATTGAAACAAATAAAGTGACAATTTTTTAATTATTGAATATTTTAAAAAATTTTGTATTTATTTTATGAAATTGATACTAGAGATCAAATCAATACAATATAAAGCTATGAAATATTTTTAACAAAAAATTTAGATCTATATATTGTGCATACATCGTGAAATATTCATCATTCAATATTCACTATACTCTGTCTTGTTGCTGTCATAAAATATTTTATTACATACGATATTTCACATCCATTATTTATTGAGGATAAATGATGTTCCTGAATGTGGAAGGTCGATGAAATATCGAGTGCCTTGTAAAACTGAAATATTTCTTCTAATATAGTTATATTTATTTTTTATAGATTTATAGACAATTGTTTGCAGAAAATAAAATCTGTTTGGACACATTCTATGTTTAAATGCCTCCTATGTATTTTTCTGGCATTAATAAACATATATTTTCGCACTGTGAATATAAATATTGCCACTATATCTTCGTTATTAAGTCTCAAGACTTACTCAATAAAGAGCAAATCTCAAGCTAGCAAACAGAATTTATGTATTTTGCATATAGGACGCACACAAAGATTTAAGCTTTGTCATCGTGGATTTGAAGTTAGAAAATATATATATTATGAAACAATGTGTTACACACAACTCTGATATAATAACTCTAAATATTTAAATATTTTTTCATGTACTTTTCTACTTGGAGATTTAGCCAGAGTTTTTATAACATATTTTGTATTATTGCAGTATAAAACATACATAAAGCTTACATTAAATACAAAATGTAGCCATATTAAAATGGAGACAAACTAAATATTAATAATGATCTTGAAAAAATATTTATTGAATATCTTATAAGAAAATAGATTAATTGAAAATTTATAATAAGTTTGCTATAATCTGTTAGCCTAGTTTGCAATATATAAAATCTGGTAAAGTAAGCTTAAGTTTATATGTATTTGATCTAAGCACTGAAAAGTATAATATTAAAATTTAGATGCAATTTTACAATTCTTGTATCTTTGTTTTTATTTGCATTTAAATGAAGATTTTGTTAATAAACAATTTGTGTTTGTCTATTGAGTGTAAATTAATCATAAACACTCTAAAAATTTCATTTAAATTACATCAGATAAAAAATTAGATAATATAAATATAAACTTAATTTTATTAAAACATAATTTAATTATATGTATTTGATTTAAAAAAATTCAAGTACTTAAATATCTTAAAAAAAGTTTTGATTTATTTGAAAATATTAAGAATAGATTACATATTAGCAAGTAAAATTAGGTTAAATACTGATAGTACAACTCATATTCTGTCTAAAGCTTCTAGCATTATGACACTGTTTCCACGAATCACCTAAAAAGCATACAATTTATCTTCATAAATATTTGTTCTATATGATAATATTATGCAATAATGAATTTTTAATTTGTATATAATCTACTTTTTATAATATAATTTTATACTATAACTAACCACCATCCCAATGTTGTTTTTGGTACCATCCTTGCATTCTTCTATACTTTCATCGATAACCATATTCATGAATGGATCAAAACCTCTCAGTATGCCAGTAACATGTCGACCTCCATTTAATTTTACTGTAAGATGTGTCAATTAAAATCAGAAGCTCAGAATATATGCTTAATATAAAGATGCATTTATATCGCTTTTATAATATAATATAAAAGACATATGCTGAATGTCTTTTATATTCTTAAATATGAAAGCTGAAATACCTATATATAAAGCTATATTTTATTTTTAATAATGTAACTCTACAAATGCTTGTGATAAACTTCTCTGAGAAACCGGACATAGTAGACATAACAGAAACTTCAAGTTTTCCGTGCATTCTATTTCAATTTTCAATTTTCTTTACAAAAATATTTATTTATCAATATAGAAAATATTTAAATCATTAGCTTTAAATTAGTAAAACAATTTAATTAATTTTGTTCAATTTTATAAGGATAAATATTCAACCTAACCTCTTTCTGTAAAATATTTAAAGCTTCCAACTTATTTCTTAAGCATGCAATTTTTATTTTAACATATTCTTACGATACTTACGTGACAATCTTTTATCCATATATCTGAAAAAATATAGAAATAATTAATATAGAAAATAATGTTGCATGCTATTTTCATTTAAAGATAAAATAATACTGATTGCAAGAGATTACATCAGATTGTGAAAGATCACTTACTTTTTAAGCTCTGGAGGATGTGCTTTACTCATTTTTGGATATAATAGCTACACCGGCTATGTTCCGATAAATAATATTAATACCGGCAATAACGAACGTTACTCTGTGTTAGCACGCACTGTACAGCACTACTACATCAATGACGTCATAGAGGACGTCACCACGAGCAGCCATATTGCCACTTTGAATACCGCAGCTCGCATATGATATAACAGCTATACCGTTTTAAGATTATCAACAAGAATAGTATATATTTACAAAAAAAATATTGTTCATAAATCAAGTAATTTCTTATTGTATTGATTATGAAATTTATGACTGTATTCTGTAATAATATTATTAATAAAACTAAATATTATATTGAAGAAAGGCTAAAAAATAGAAGGCTATATCTCCCCATTTAAGTTATGGAATCATAACTTTATTTCTTTTCGTACAACATTGGTACATGAATGCGTCGCTTCAATGTTCGAAATAATTATCAACAAAACATCTTTTCCTTATATAATTCATATCGCGATTTCACGAATGATATCGATCCTAAACACCATGATAATCACACGAAACATGTACGATATATGCATAATCTCTTCTCTTCGAATATACATCCGTTATCGTAGCACAAGAGATGTAAAGTACCATCAGTAAAAAATATAAGTACGTACGTATTTATAAAAGTACGACATTAACATTTCTTGCGACGGTGCAAGAAACAATACGTCTCTTATATGTCAAAGAAATGAGTACCATAAATATTTCCCGATGAATTATACGATTTACTTAACCATTTTTTTTCTCTATAATGAACCGTAGAGAACTTAAAAAAAAAATATATTTAAAAAGTTAACATTAAGATTATAGAAAAATTCAAGAGAAGATTCTTTCGAATTTTCTGACGCGAATGCCTGTGCAATACATATAGAATTATACTGTACGAAAACGAGGTGTATCGTTTAAAAGATTACTTAAAAATAAAGTTTTTTTTTTTTTCATTGTTACGTTTGGACAGAAATAAATTTTTCTTTAATTCCGCTTATAACATTCAAATATTCCAAAAAGCGTGTGAAATTGGGAAGATCTTCGTAGTGTTTCAACGGTTTCTAATCTATAATATTATTATATCACACGTGACACTTAAGATTATATCTTATTGAGATATTATATGTATGTCCAACAACATATATATCAGAGTTCAACAACGTACAGTAAAAACGATGGAAATAAAGGCTCGTAATTCCCATCGCACATTTAGCACCGTACGCTGTTGCCTGCTTCTCCGTCTTTTGCTCACACTAAACTTTTTCATATTAAACGAAAAGCTGAGAAGCGGACAACCGTGTACAGCGATTAGAATATAGAATGACTCAACTTGATTATCATGAAAAGCGCAATTCTCAGTTTATAATTAAATATAATTCCGGAAGAGTGGACACTATATATAGAAGTACTATTCAGCTGACGACACGAAATAAAGATCCTGATTAACGATTCCTACATAGTGAAGCGTAAGTACCTTACGAATCTACAATATAAAGATATTAGCACATCGATCCGAATTAATCAGCTAATTTCCGTGGAATGCCATGGTAAGTATCTCAACATACACACTTCGAAAGACGACATATCGAGTAATATAACGTTTATAAATTGCGGTTCTCGCTGGATTCATCCGGCGTTTAACACGTTAACACGTGCTCTGTTTAGCCATCTTTGAATCGCTTCCATAAAAACATCTTCTAAACTCTATTTTCAGAGTTAAAAACGAAAGGAGACGAAGAAGCATTCAAAAGCATTCTTCGGTTAACTTTAACATTCATGAGAACGATCCTTCAAAGCACAAACAAATTTAAGTACATGTGCATATTTCAACAAGATTTCCAAAAATTCCACCTACGCAAATCAAAGATCTTGCGCGTGGATGTTTGTATGTTCATATTAAACGTGCAAAATTCTAAGATGGAACGGATTGGCACGGCGAGTCGTGAACGACTCACGAATATTTTATGTCGTCCATACAGTTCGAGATATTCATATACAGACTACATAATTTCACTTAAACTATTAATTAACAATAAGTTTCCCTCGGTCATCCGTATCTTATATCTTCTAAATGACATCAGTTTATATTTTTGTATATATATAAATTATATATGTATATATAATGTGTGTGTGTGTGTGTGTTATACACATATGAAAAATGTGCTTCGATATGTTCACGAAGAAGTATACTACATCAAAATAACTGTTCCTTCGCAAGAAATATCAGGTATGGTTTCAGAATAGTGACTCGTACAAAGTATAGTATTCTTTGAAAAATTATTGCTATTGATTTATAACATAACTCTCATGTCAACAGTTTCTTATTCCTTCAAAATTTCTTGCAAATCAATTTCCTCCAACACTTGTCATTCGTTTGTAATTTTGTTACAGTAAACGGTATGTATAGATATATATATATTTTTTCTTTTTAATTTGTATAGTTAAAAAATTAAGTATAATGCACGCAAAGTGGTCTTAGAAAGAATTAGAATATTATTTGTTGTACTTGAGTCGCACATCCATTACGAGAAATTACAGTAATGAATATAACGGCGTGGCACAAGAACAATAAGCTACGTTAAAGCTCCAGAGATCTAGTCCGCAAACAAACATCAATTACACTTATAGTATACAGTGACTACAACGTTTTACATCTCGTAAAATTACCATCGAGGAAGGCAAGGTACCAATAATAATAAATATATGCGAAATCTTTGGTCGTCTGCGATGCGCGAACGGAGGCAGTGAAAGGGACCTTCAAAACGCGTCCAACGATAATACCTTTGGCAAAAGTAAGGAAGCTCACGGGTTTCATTGGATTAAAATAATAGTGAGACGCCGCAAAGGAGTGCAGCTGACATTTTAAAAGTGTGATGTTTGCCAGCTTACGCGAGTTCACGCTTCGACACAACATTGACGGTCTAGCAACACGAAAGACACTTGAAAAATGTCCGAGAGATTCATTAAAATATTTCGGGCATCCTTTAAATACCTTTACAGCATTTCTTTTTAGACATATACGTCATTTGGAGTTCTACACAGCCCCTTTATTTCCTAAGTGTAGCGCGTTAAGGGCACGTAGCTTGCAACTTTAAGCACGGTGTTGGATTCGTGGTTGCAAATTCCCTTGCCGATTACACTAGTGGAATGTAGCTATAGTATTCAGATTTCGCAATAGTGTTCAGTGGATCGGATTAAGATACTGCGGCTGAAACGTGCCGAGTGTCTTACGATTCATCATTTTTCATTTATCATTCATCAATGATGAAATCAGACGTTGTGATTAATCCTTTCGATACCAAAAAATGTGGAATTTATATAAATTCCATTGGAAATAAAAATTAATGATCTCGTTCTATCACACACCGTTGAAGTTCGACGGGGCAAAAATGAAAAATAATTAACGAGATTTGTTTTATTGCAAGCTGCTGTTGCTGTTTGGCGAAGCAAAAGTAATTAACAAGATTTATTTTATCACGAATTGTTAAAATTTACCTGTCAAAAATATGATATAAAAAGAGATCAAAATACAATTTAATACAATTAAACTTCTTTTCAATGTAAAATGTCAAAATAAATATTTTATATTTTAATTAATTGTAAACACATTGTGCTTTTTTATGCCAATAAAATGGTATCGAAAGGGTTAAATCGATTGATCAAAAACGTCGATTACAAGACTTATACGATGTGATTGACATCGTTGTACGCGACGAACGTATTATCCAAGAATACGGCATCAAACCATCGTCTCGCGAAAGATCTTCACTGACGAGTCCGCACGTTTAGTGTGTACGTATCTCGTTATCGTCCTCACGGCGTTGTTATTGTTGTTAATACCGTTGAATACCTCGCCGCTCTTCAACCCGGTTTTCGCCTCTGCCTGCGTTTCCCTCGCCGTCTCTGCGACCAGGAACGATAATATTCTAAATAATATTTCTTAATATGCGTCGTAAAAAAACCTAATTGGCACCGAGATTCATGACATTATTTGGCAAGTTTAACTTCCCGGATGGTTTTTAAACAATTTTTACATTCTTTAATTCGACAGGAATTGAAACGTCAAGTAACTGGCGAATGTTTTCACCATCAAAAAGGAATAATAAAATTATCTCGGAATAATCTTTCCATCTTAACTTCAAGAAAATAATCTTTATTCTAGTTTCATGTATTGCTATGTGCATTTACATAAAAATACATGAAACGACAATAAAAATTATTGAATCTATAAATTTATCTCTTTCAACAAGTAACAATGACATAAATGTACAGATAACAGTCGAGTATGTGAGAAACCTAGAATATCATCAGACAGATCATAAGCCACCACACGTACACGATAGTATGTATATATATATATATATATATTTGTGTTTCGTACTATATAAAGCTTTTCGTACACCAAGTGCGCGCAAGTATGTGGTTAACGACACTGCTCTCGAGACGCAGCAACGCAGATCGCAGAGACAAATGCATCTGTTTTATATTTACAATGCTTACCGTGCCTCTTTTCCTGAACAATCGCGCCACGTTCCGTGGTACGTGTGTGTCGGCGATTATAAATTCCAATTACATTACGCAAGAAAGAGAGACAATCGTAATCATGAGAGACAAATAACTATATAGTAATAAGAGAAATATAAGTAATAATATGAAAGATAAAAAGAGGTAAAAAAAAGCTAGATTATCTCAAAAAGCTACTGCTGAATATTTGAAAAAGCGCCCGAAGCTTGTAAACGGACATCATATTCCGATAAAACTGTTATGCATCGTTTGGATGAATATATAGCGATAATATTGTAACAATGCCGAAATACGCAGTGTAAGAGAAATAATGGAGAGATTATTATATGCTTCCGAGTTTCCCTCAGATCTGCCATACTGCGCCCCACAATTAAAAATTTTGCGGCTGCGGTTATTGGAAGTGCGGCGCAACGTGCGGAGCGTAAAATTAAATGAAAATACACGTACATACTATGTGAAGCAATAATCGATAAGTGAGATAAAAAGGAAGTGCAGCAAAATCGCCATTCAGCAGCAATAACACATCTATAGGCGTTCGTGACATACAATAATAAAACGAACGTTAGTGAACTTTAGGTGTTTCTAGTATAAGCATGTGAGAAAACCCATTTTATCCAATATTCTTGAAAGATTTTCATTTAGAGATGCACTTTTCATAAATTAATAAATACTAATTCTCGCAAATTTTATTCGTAACGAATTCTGAATTTTAACGAAGAGATACTTTCCGGAGATTATTGCATTATCTTATTCTACACACGTAAATATTTTTTTCCACATAAAAAAATTCTCGGAATCAAAAAAGAAGACGCAATATAATGAACGTTATTCACCGTGTTTGTGTAAAAACCTCGAATATTTTTCTCAAAGCAATTTTTTTCCGCGTCGTACGCACAACGTAGGTAAAAATAAGCATAAATATGCGCGCGCTCCTTTATCTCTTTCTCAGAACCATATCATTTAATCACACTTATGGCAAGTCGACCGTACATCCGCAACGAAAAACTAATGGAAACTGAAGGAAACAAATAAATAAAGAAAGCAGTATTCATATGTATGAAAAATAAATTTATATTTACAAAATAGGGCAATATATAAGGTCTCGTCGGTGAGCTATTTACACGGCGCGCATCCCGACACGGCAGGAATGCACGGTACATTTTAAATCAGCCTACGCGATAGAAAATAAAACAAAAATGCAGTACAACAGCGTCGGAATCTGCGCTCGGTTCTCCGTCACGCGTACGCGCAGATTCTCATCGTTTTAAAACTAATATGGCAAATGAAAGTCGATTGATACGGTCCTCGGACAATTGCTGTGGTAGATGCGAAGCGGATTCCGCATCGAATTCCATTTCGAACGCGGAGAGGTATAACATTAAGTCACAATTGTCACATTACTCCACGCTTAGCGAGGAAACTCTGAACAAAAAGCTCGTGACTAATCAAGTATCGAATTGTTATTCTCTCATCGAATCCCGCTGTGCGAAAATCGTCCTGATCGAAATAATTTCACCGTTTTGTCTACACATCGACGATATATACCTCTGCGCTCTCGTGTCTTCCTGTCGGCAAAGGATCGTGGAAATGAAGCGCTAATGATCGCGGCATGGAGTAATGTGCATTAACATCACAAGTAAGCTCAAACTTTCGCGTCTTTCGCGTCGCCGAGAAACCCTCAGCGTATTTCTCTTTACGTCGAATCCGATTCACGCAATATATATATATATACGGCTAATGACTTCCCATGCGCATTTATGACTTCGAAATAATGGCATGTTCGTTCGTATGTAACACCAAAAGCTTGAATTTAATGACGATCGTCTCAACAATACAGTAACAACGATAAATTAAACGAAGCAAATCTCCATCCCCTCCTTTCTTCTCCGTCGTTCTCTCGCGCAACCGACATTCGTCACATAAATTAATATCTCCTTAACAAGCTACATTGAATCTAACTTTGGCAGTAATCCACTTAAAACGCTCTTCTAAAAAGAATCCAATGGACAGATCTGTTCCTGGCGAAAACGCAGTACAATATGTTCGCGTATGTTCTAAAAAAAGGAAAGAAAAAAAAAAAATATGCGATTTTTTGCGGCATCACCATAAAATCTTTGTCTCTACAACATGGAATACGTGATACGAGCGTAAAATGTTGGAACGACACAAACGATACGATGACAATACTATTGAATTACGAGAGGACAGTGCGATCATATAATAAATAAAATCTTTATATATATATATAGGTATGTATGTATGTATATATACGTGTCGTCTATAAATCTAAAATGAAATTTGTAACAATCGTTCATAGCGTACAACGTAAGAGAATATAATTAAAGACAAGAACACTGCGAGGTAACAATCTCCTTGAAAACGAGCACTTAACCGTGCCTATCAAGGATCTGGGCACACGATCGACTTTATATAAAATAGCATAGTAGGATAATAATAGCACTGCTCGGTAAAAGTGCATTGTGTATACTGGTAACGATTTTATCAGTCTGTACGTATTGTATGACATTGTACAGCGGCGTAATTATATCACTATTCTCCGTACTCTAAATCATGTGACATTACGTAATGTGATTATACTGGTTATAAATTCGTACAACGGCTACAACGGCGAAAAAAACATGAACAGTTTTGTATCACTCGGGCATTTTTCCTAAGAAACATGTGACAGAACCTCGGACATTAGAGTACCATGCACATGCACACAACGCTTTACGTCAGAACGTTTCTCACGACATGCAAAGTGGAGTACGAAAATTCATATCTCACGACGGAACGCGAGACGCAAGCGAGAAAACCGTCAACCGACTAAAATGATATTCTTCACTTTTCTTGCGTCACGTTTATGTCGTTTTATGTCAACGATAAATATGCAAAGTGTCTACCCGCTTTCGCAATATGCGATTCCTTCAAATATTACAGGAGTGCTCATTTATACGATCGACGAATCGCATGTCCGAAAATATATCGCGTTCTTTTAGGCACGATTAAAAACAATATGCGCATCGTCTGAAAATAAATTATAGTCTTACACTACAATGGTGATGTGACTAAAGACGCTATCTCGTTTACTACTTAGCATGTCACGAGAACGACACGAAAATAAGGAAATAAAGTTTATCAAAGGAATACTCTGTAGAATCGTAAGTAGAAAAAAAAAAAGGATACCCGATCGCCATTGTTTTGTCGCGAACGCGCGACAAAACATGTATATCGCGATGATATATTTTGTCGCGCGTTCGCGCCGAATCGAGAGCGGAAAAATATTAAGTTTCGCTCCAACAAGAAACATGAGACACGCGTGAACATTTTTCCGATAGGAGGAATTCGATATTTCGGTATTTTCCGCTTTCGATTCGGCGCGGCTGCGACAATACGATAAATAAACGAGGAACATTATACACAGATTCTAGGATGCAGATTAAAGCGAGCTCTCACGATACTACACAACAACACTTTCTACATCTAGTCCGCCTGCCGATAATGTTGCTTTTGTATCGTTCAGTGACTTTGTAAGCTTTCAACTTCAATCTGATACTTCCTGCGTGATCATTGATATCCTGACTGTGCGCCGAGTTGCTTCTCGTAATGTCTTTCGAGGTGCACACTTTTTGCTTGCTCTCGCAGCTGATAATCTCCGCGTCGTGACTTACCGCATGATCTGCGTGTATATCCGAGCATATCTTTATCACATCGCGATCTTGATTTCTGAGAAGCTCCGTTTCCGCGCCGGAACTGTTGTACGGCGCGCCGCTGATTTTCGCGTTTGTCCTAGCCGGATCCGTGCTGGCTTTATAGAGGTTTAACATGCGGAACGCTCGAGAAGTCGGTTGATTCTCTAACAGGATTTCGGTGTACCGCGAGTTATTTTGTTTTAAAGAGGATTCGTCCGGAACGTGGCGTTCCATGGTCAGTTTGTCACTCGTCCTATCGGAAAGAGCTTCGTTTTTCGCGTAAGGTGCACTTCTCACGACAGCCTGCGCTTCTATTATTTGACACTTCGTCTCTTTGCACATGTCGCATTCCTCCACGAATTCTCTGCCGTCCTTGCCGAAGTACAATTCTCTATTCGACACCGATTCGTTGTGGCCTTTCGAATAGATGGTCTTTTCCGTAATCTCCACTATTCTTTCCGCCGGGCTCAGTATGTTGCTCACCTCCTCGTCCGTCTTGTCACCGATCTCGTCCGATTTCTCCGAGCTCACGGCCTCGCCGCTCAGCGTTTTCGTGCGGCCGTCCGAATAAGCGCTCAGCTTGTTCTCCGAATAATTGCTCAATCTGTCGTCGTGGAAGTACACGGAGCTCTCGTTCGACTCGAAATTGCTCGGGTTTATTATGGCTATTCGCGGTATGATCAGATCGGGCGGTACGCCGTCGACGATGTCCGGCGGACTCGAGTTCGAGGACGACCGATTGGCGAAATTGCTGAAGGAGTGATAGCCCTGCTGACCTCTGCCTTGAATCCACGCCTCGGTTAGAACGTGGGACCGTTGCCACGACACGTCGCTGTTGCATCTGTTTTTCCTCACACACCATTGCCGATCCTCGGCATCGGGCCAAGTGCGCAGATGGCACTCGCTCGGGCTCCTCTTGATGTCCGAAGTGTCCAGCTCCGTGTCCTCGTGCTTCTTATTTTGCACGATCAGCTCCAGTCTGGACTTGAGTAACGCCGGCGATACGGCGCGATCGATGTGCCGCTTCGACACGTTCGACGTGTGAGTCGATCGCGGCGCGGACAACGCGTTCTCGCCGCCGATGTGATCCGCGTCGAGATCGGGCACCTCCCCGGAGGCCATCACCGCGTTCGGACTCGGACTATCCATACTATCTGGTGTGTAGGGATCATGCTTAACGGGTATTGCGTGCAACAGATTAGACGAATCAACAAAATCCGCACGCGCGTTAGCATAACTATTGCAATCAGGCAACATGGACAACAACTCTGGATAATTGTTGGGCACTCGGAAGCAAAACTCGGGTGCAATTGGCAAGTTGCAGCAGTCTATCATACCTGCGTCCGAGATGAGATCAGCCTTCAAGTAGACTGGCTGTAAATGGCAAAAAAAAGTAACGGACCTTTATGTATTATCGTGCGTCACTACGAGAAGACGATAAGGCGCTATATGAAAGGCTCGTATTGTGGGATTCTATGAGAAAGGAATTCTATTTCACAAAAGTTAACGCTTTTTTTTCCAAGGAATAATGATATATCATAGTAATGTACTTTTCAATCTGTTAAGTCTGTCAACATGACGATTATCGCACGTGTAAAATTTTCAAAAAATATTTTCAAACGTAACGATATAAATTCAGCAAAATGATATTTTCAAAATGTTCTCATTAATTCAAAACATTCATTAATATGCATATGTTTCCGCACAATTTCACCGATGTTTGTTAACTGTCTGTGTGTATTGTTTATTTATACACGATCCTATTATGATTAACATTATAATATTAATATTATATTTAAATTTAATGTTGTAATAATTATGCCATAATGAGTAATTAATTAATTAATTGTGTCATCTACTTTACACGTATCAATATTTATTTTCTATAACGTAACGTTTCCAAAGTTAGATTTTAGAATCGACAAATGTTAGCACAATTTATTGCCATTTCTTACTGCAGTATCATATGTACGTATAACGAGTATTATCTTTATGTAAGTGAAATATTCATGTATTTGTGTAATGAAATGTTTCTGAGCATTACAAAACACGGCAAAATGCAAAAAGCGTTATAATGCGTATTTGCGATTAGATTGAAAAAGTACAATTATTCCATGATAACGATAGTGAAGCTGACAAGAATTATGAGATCCAAAGTAACGTAGAAGTAAAAGACTTGAGGACACTACGCGTGTGGAGGTGCTACATTAAACAAGCCCCTATATGTTTATTGCCGAGATAACGGAATACTAACAGAATAACGAGACGTGAAAGAGATGTGGGGGTTTCGAGATAAGAAGAACAGACAGACAGTTCATAGATAGGTACCTTAGTGCTTAGAGATTCATTCGAAACTCCAGAAAAACAGGCTGCATTATAATAATTGAAAGAATGGATCATCAGAATAAGAACTAGGAAGTGTGTAAGTATATGTTCCTAGCGTAATAAGTAAAAAATGTCGCAGTATATCGATTTTATAAAATGTATAAGAGACAATAATTGGAAGGCATTCGCTTTACCTTATGATCACCCATGCATGTAGTTTGGCCGATTATGCTGTACTCCATCGCCTCGGAATCATCTATCTGCACAGAGGAACAAGAGCGCGACGTTTTAGACCAGTGAATGCAACTTTTAAGCTCGCTTATCGATCGAGCGAATGTAAATTTTATAAGAACACGTACATCTTGGACTAGCGCTTTCGCACTGGGGCTCAATAAAACCCGGTCGCACCAAGCTGGCACTCTCGTTTGCATGTAATTTACGGGCTCGTTAACATCTTCTTGAAACGGATAACTGGGTACAAAGTTGATTGGAAATTCGAACAATCTGCCATCGAAGTCCCCCAGTTCTTTGTCATACTCGCGTAACTGCATAAATATTAATAATTTTATTGTTAGCATTCTGACTCATCTGTTGAATATCGATTGATATACGATATGATATTGTGTTGCGCGATATATACAGAAGGATGCTCAACTTACCCATTCACTGCCGTTCTTCATGAAAACATTCTGATGCTCGTGATGCGAAAATTCCTTTTTCCCTAGTGTTAATACGAGATCGTCATCTCTATTGTGAAATTGTAGTTTCGAAATATTTCCCTTATTCGATAACTTTTTTTCTCGAGTATCTTCTGTCAGTTTCTATTAAAGATAAATTAAAGTGCTGTAATACATCGGATTTTAATATAATTGTTTCAACGCGATGCCTAATACGAGTAATACATAGTAAAATTATGAATATTATATGGATAAATACACTAATTTTAACAATAATGCATTTATTTGTGAAATAGATACGTTATTAATAAGTTCCTGATAAGTTAATTTTTACTTTGTTCTTTATTTAATCTATAAGTTAATTTTTACTTTGTTCTTTATTTAATCTTAATCAATTTTATCGCCAAGTCTCACCTTTATCACACTTGCTGTGTCCGTCCTAAAATTAAAGTCACCAAATAAAAAATACGGCACATTTGGATATTTGTCGTTATGAAATCTATCTAACGTGTGCTCGAGCGCTCTTCTGCGCGTTTTACTGTACACCGATGGAAACTGTAAAAAAAATGTCAAATTAGAAGAGTAAACGTACGTATGGTAATGCGTGTGCAAGAAAACACTTGCGTAAAAAATTCCCCTTACCGTCTCCATAGCAATAAAATTGCTCGCGTCATGAAATAAGTGTATGTTTATGAGATCAAAAATGGTTCCACTAATACTCCATCGCGTTCGCAGGAAACCCTTTCTGGACCATTTGCATTCTGGGAAAAATTCTTGAGGGAACTTAGCTTTTTCTTTGGTTGTGACTGCTTCTATGTTGCCCGAATGTACTTCTTTTCCACTTACGGGTACAAAAGTACACTCTAAAATGATATACAGATAATTAGGAAAAAATAGATTATTTTTACTTGTTGACAGCCAATTAAAAATCACATGTAACGTACCATTAAAATCCCATAATAAAACATCGCTTAAGGACTCATGAACAAAGTAGAAATTTCCTAAAGCCTGTAAAAAAAGTTTTGATAAGAATACCGCTTTGTTTAAAGGATTAAAAATATTCGAGCAAATATTTCACTACTCACTGTAAAATGTTCAGCGGATGAATAATCCTCATCAAGGAATACCCTGATTTTGTCAAACAATCTCAGTTCTTCCGACGACATAAGTAATCTGCAATATTTTCGTATTCCAATATATTACGAATTATAATAAAATTCATCTGCTTTGAGCTTAAAATACATTTACATTTTTCCAATCATTCTTTTTTATATGTATACCTATGCATTTCTCCCCTATCAATATCATAGAATCAGCTTATCTTTTGAAGTAACTCACTCAACTATAGAACCATGCGTGATGCGTCTATTTTTAGCTTTTTTTACCAATTATGCGTTAAATCATATTCAATATCACGTATGTGGAAAGAAAAAGCTACTTATTTTAGCGTGGTTAATACATAGTTCGCATAGCTTCGATTCAACGTTGATAAGAATCAAAAATCAACACTTTATAGACACAATTATAAAGATATCTCTCATAGAAATTTTTGCGCAAATAAATTCTCCAGACGAACATATGGACTCTTGTCTTAATAATTTGATTAGAGCCAAATATTATGACTCGTCGAAACCTTCCAAGAAATACCGCTAAGAAGATTACGGTTTTAAGGTCTACCAAATATTTTTTTTAGACGCACAAACATTATTTTAACGTATTAAATTTTGCTGCAACTCGCATGCTTTAGAAACGACAAGTATACCTGTCTCGACTGCCATAAAAACACATTGCGAGAGAAGAAAACGACACGCGCGTGTTAAATCTAGATAAAGGTGTGAGGTTTACCTAACGAAGTCTTCCACGTGCCTCATACTCTGCTCGTAATTTTTTCCACCTACTTCTTGGCAGTGCAATGCTATAAATTTCGGATCCAGCCTCGATATGGTCTGAAAGAAAGGCAGTCCGCTTGTAAACACACAAAGCCGGCGCCATGCGCGCGATGTTTTTATACGTGTACCGTACTGAAAGCCCGCAAGGATACTTACGGATAAAAATTCTTCCGTCCATATCTTTAGCATGACACTAGGCTGCAAGGAAAATCACTGATATCAATCTCTCAATCCTTCATACTTCGTGCACTTTAAAGAAAAGCTTAATGAGATGTTCGACGGCGCGTGGATATATTAATAGATCGTTAACGTCACAACGCAAGGATATCGATATCGCGCCGCATTTCCCTCTCTCCACATGTCCCTGCGACGATAAAGCGCCGCGAGTTCTTTTCTTCACATTTCACATAAATGATAATATAATAATCGATCGCGGTAATAGTCGCGCGCGAATCCGGTATAAACAAACGTGTGAGTGTGCATATACGTAGGCGGCGTGATAAAGCGGACACGCCGCGGCGATCGTACAAGAGAATTAGTACTATGACGGAAATATCAACAAACGTCAATAAGCGAACGCGAGCCGATAACGAGCGATATTGGGTACGCGTGTTCCGTAATTGTCGTTCGCGATGTCAATATCGACATAAGGATTCTTGAAATATATTATTATTATTATATCTATTTATTATTGTGTAAATGTGTAATTACAATCAATCACAGAAATTATAAAAATAAAAATTTTTGAAGCACATAAAATACTAATGTGAAATAAATTGGAAACTGAGAAAAGTTGATCTCTCAAGTTGATGATTGGTTTTTAATGACGATTTCTCTTGTTTGTCTTCCGATAATTTTCAAATACATCCTGTTCGAGAAGAATGATATTTCCTAACGATTCCGAAATATTGTATAATATAAACACATATGTACATACATTTCGCAAACTTTTTTAAATTACATAATTCTGTTAATGATTCATCTCGCGATTACATTATGCGATCGTTGATTTCACATGAAGGATGATGGTTCTTACGACATGAGAAATTTACATATTCATCGTGACGCTTTTTGAACACGTGACAAGATCAACATAAAAAAATAACAAAAACAAGCGTAAAGATCCGAGGACTGCTCCAAGGAGAGTTTCTGTCTCATTTGCTATTTAAAAGTAAACGTATATTCCTCACGAAAATGTTATTCCATTAGTAATGCAACAGGAATATTTTAAACTCCGGGTTTTTAAAAAACTGTAAAAACTACATTTAAGAAAAGAAAATTTTTAACAATCGATTTTTAACAAGTATTGTATATTGCAATATTTTGGAGCACATGCTAAAAAAAAATAACACCGAATCCTGGAACGTCTAAATCTCGAAAACAGCAACGTTTCAAAGTTTACACATGTTAAAACTCTAGAACGGTTGTCAAGGTTTCATAAGGTCACATTATCAGATGTTAATGAGCATTAATAAATGTTAATAATTCAAGGTGAAATAAACGAGATATAGGGAAAAAAAAAAAGAAAGAGAGAGAGAAAAGAGAAAAGACGAAGATTTGGAAAGAAAGCGGCTGAAATAGAGTGGACTTTCAAACTTCGCCGCGGACCGACTTTCTCGAGTGCCGTCGGCTCCGGTGACGACGAACCGAACGCCCGAAAACCGATTACTCGGCACGTGTGCGACGTAGCGTACGTGTATACGAATATACGAAATCTGCGCCAACCTCGGCATGCCGCGGTTAGGACGAGGAGAGCGGCGACGGCAGCGGCGGCGATGACGGCGGCAAGTAGGTCGTGTGTCGCGCGGGCAAATAATCGCACAAAATCGACGAGCGTGATCGATCTCGCTGCTGGTAGCACGGCCGGCCGCGCCTCGCCGGTCGCACGATATTACAATGCGGTACGTACCTCTTCGAAGATGCTGCCGACGTTGGCGGTGATCAGGAGGACCGGGACGCCGTTGCCTGCCATTCTCACAGCCGGGACGATTAGGTGTTGTCTTGGAAAGCTGGTCTCGGTCTTCGTCAGCGCGTAATTATTGGCACCGCGATGGTCGTCGTATGAGCGGTGACGACGATCTACGACAGCTACGAAAGGCGCGTTTCGGTACGCGTTACAGCCTGTCGACACCCGCACCCCACTGCACTGACCACGACACGACGAATAACGGCAACGGCGACGGACGAGCCACTGGCAGCACCCGCGACCGCGCGACGATCGACGGCGACCGCGCACGTCGCTCGCTCGCACGCACTCGCACACTACTGCGCCCGCACCACACTCTTAACTGGCTCGCGATCGGTCCGTCGGCCGTCGCTCGTGGATGCACCTCTATCTCACTCACTCTTTCTCTCTCCTTCTGTCACGCTGATCTCGCTGTCCGTCCTCCTCTTCTCACCACCCCTCTTCCGATCTTACCGTCGGAGCGTTATCCGCCTCGCACCTTTCGGGGAAAGCGCCAGCCCTGCTAATGCACGCACAGGCAGCGCCGCGAAATAAACACAGTCCACGGGATCGCGCACACAGAGACGTAGACGATGACGACAACGACGGCGATGACTGAAGACTTAACGTTGACGATGATGACGGACGAGGAACAAGTCAACCCTCGTGCCGAGGAGAAGTTATGCTCGCGCACCGTACGATGCACCGCTCGTCGTCGCGTCCGATCTCAACGCTGCCGCGCTGCAAGTATGTACACATTGTCAATCGCCGCGGACGGGAGAGAAAGAGAACAGCGGAGAGGAGAGCCTCCCCGTTTCTTGCGTTGCGGCGTTACGTTGCGTTGCGTTGCGTTGGCGCACGAGAGAGAAAAGTCGTGCGCGCGGTAAATATATCCCTCTATCGGCTGTGGTGAAGCCACGCCTACCACGGACGTCAATAGGCAGTGCCGTGTTGATCATTTATGTCGCTGGCGAGTGTACTTGCGTGCACGGGCACCACGGAGAGACGATCTGACTCCGGTTCTTCACGCCGCCGGCCGGCGATCAGCTGCTGGAAAATCAGAACCGACAATTTTTAATCCTCAATAGCTGACGAAGAAAAAAAGACATTAGAATAATCACTGACAGAGAAAGAAACCCGCTGACATTTGAATAATACAACAAACAGGCGAGCGAGCAGGAATATTTGAATAACTGAGCGATCAAAAATATTAATGACATATGAATAATACTTATATATAACGTAAAAAAAGACCAACAATGTTTGTAGGAGGTAATTGTCAGTGAATAAGAGACATAATATATTTCAATATTGAATAATAAATACGGAGCAGTAATAATATGAAATATACAACGATTTGACTAACAACTCGCAGATAAAGAAACTAATAAGCATTTATCTCAATTTTAATTCGATTCAAGCGATAATTGTAATTCATGCGAATAACAAAGTCGCGAGAGTAATTTGTCTTGATAATATTCTAATAATTTGTTTCGGATAATGGACGATTATCATCCGGATGAATAAATATTTCAATAAAAATAGCTGAGTAAAAAATATTGGAGTGAGAGCGGAGAAGATATATAATTTGACGAGGAAAGTCTATCAAAAATTAATCAGCCGACTCATTTCAGAAGGAGACCAAAGTCATCTGCGAGTGACACAGAAAATAAGAAAAAAAAAACTACACGCTTCAACGGCAGTATATCGTTTATCGATACTCGTTGTAAAATATTCGTCTCCTAACCGCAATATCGGTAACCAAGTGTCAATGCCAATCAACGAGATCGATACTTTCTGGTATCGGTATATCGTTAGCTGTTTCATGGACAAAGAAAAACCGGGGCTCTTACGCACGAACGAAAATCGGCGTTATCGTGACGACCAACAACACGTCTCCCGCGTCACGGTAGACTTCGACTCTGGGAAAAAAGTCGATGAGTCGGGTATTGTTTGAATCACACGCAAATATACGGGTATTTACTGATAAATTTCAACTTTATATCTTAAAGATCTTTTTCAGAAAGTTTCATCATCAATCTCGCGTTGATTACGGATGTATCGAAATCTATCAATATATGCAATATACGTTTAATGTTTTATATCACATTGTATTATCTGATATTTGTGAATAAAATTGAAATGGCAATTGAAAAAAATGGTCTCGTTTAAAAAAAAGCTTTGATGTTCCAAATGTAATTGTCTAAAAATTTTGGAAAATAAACTTAAAATTTCCGTCAATATAGTATTTTTTCCGAAAATGTTTTATTTCTAGAGCCTGTTGCTCATCATGAATTTGTTTAATTTTAAACAGTTTAAATTATGTGCATTCCACGAAAGAGACAATGAGTTTACGCAATGAAACATCGAGCTTCGTATAAGTGACATTTTCGCTCGGTTGACAATTAGCAGGCGTTCAGCGTTTTTTTTTTAACCGACAAACGAATTTATCTGCCATCAAGAGTGTCGTGATAATGATCGGGGCGGAAGTTTCAGTAAAAATATGTCACCGCGATGCGCGCGAAAAGCGGTAATACAGTTGCGTCAATGAAAGCGATTACGTTTGTTGGGAACTTGATTGGTCATATCAACGAACGTCATTATCATTCGCATGCGAATATGTTATTGTAAGATAAATCCTGCAATCCTCAATATACGAAAACGATAATTTATGGTCAGTGGACTCATGAAACTGAAATTTATTACAATTTCAGAGATAATGGCAGAAAAAAATAGAAGCAAACCGTTATAGCGTTTATTTCTGAGAAGCATAAAAATATCATTACGTTAAGAAGTGATGCCTGACACATGCACACTGTTTTTTAAACGTGACTCTTAATGTCGCTAAAAGGATTCACGACTGCAATTAAAAACTGTTTAAAATTTACATAACTGGTTAAGACACTCAGATTGAACTCTCTTTTGCAAAGAAACAAATTAGAACATTTTTACAAGCATAAAATGATAAAAAAAATTGAAGAATTGAATTTGCACGGTATTTCAAATTTATTTCTTATTCCTTGTATTCCTTTTGTATTTGTATTCTTTTTTTTTCTAAACAATCGCATCTAAGATGACATTTTGAACTCGATCGAATAATCGAATGCAAATTAAACATTTCGGGCATTGTAAGAAATATTCGTTGAATATATCTACGCTGTCTAAAACATTTATTAAAATTATGTTCCGACACAATGTTTCACAGATCAACGTAAATAATATCGCCGATTGTACGCCCCTGCAAAAGATCTGTCGGAAGCAATGCTCCAGCTGCGCATGTGAAACGAGAAGCCGTGCGGGTGCCTATGCTCTGTGTCGGTTCGGTTCTCTCAGCTTTTTTTTGTCACCGACGTCGTCGATCCGGATGTAATATCCCGTTCCGTCGCGTTCCGTCGCGACGTACACCGTCACTGACCAGGCGGAAACATTTCTTACTGTATAACGCAATTTTCAAGCTTTGCATACAGTCCCGGTGTTATCGCGAACGGGTTCTACCTGGGCCGCCGCGGCTTCTGTTTCATCGTGAATTTCACATCGGCGGTGTCGTCTGCCGACAACGCATCGTGGCAACGATCCGTTTCCGTGAGCACGTAAGTTTCTCAGCACGTGTGCGTGCGTGCATGCGTGCGTGCGTCGTGTTTCGCGTAGTACGTCGGCGACGCAGGCGCGACGGGAACGCGACGAGGACCGACCGATACACGGCGACGTCGACGACGACGACGATAATAACGTGACGGAGAATCGCGTCGTTTGATTTTTCATAATATAACGCCTTGACCGAGTGCGGTGCATTTTTGTTGGAGTAAAGAGCGGGAATAAATTTTGGACAAGACGCGAGATCGTTGAATCCTGGCCGGGTCTTCGCGCAACAATCGATACCACGTCGCTGGCTTTTCGCGACCCGTCGGAAAATTAAAGCGGCACACCACGACCGGCACGCCAGAAATATCGCGATGCTGACTCGAGGCGCATTTAGTTGGAGTTCTTCTGGGCTTATTACTCGCAGGATTGTCCGCGAGATTTCCCGAGTCCAATTTCGGAACATTAATAATTGAATTGTATATTAATTGTTGTAACAGATTTTTGCAAAAAATTAGGTTCGAAAGTAGTGGCATGTTTTCAATGCTTTTAGACGCGTTGCGTTTAGAATATTGTACAGTGTTCCCTTTTGTAATCTTTTATGATATAATGTGCAAAGGTCGGTGAACCTGAAGTTCTGATAAGTGCTTTAATGTCGCGGAAAGTAACAAGCAGTTTAGAATTCCAGTTTTGACATATTTACATCGCTGTCAGAAACGTAAGTCAAACGGAAATTTCCATATATGATTGTTTGAAGACTAACAACATAACGCGATAAATCCATGTAACAATAAAAAAATGTATAAATAATTCATATTTCTCAAAATAAAATTGTTTAAATAAACATTAAAAGTCTATCTTATTTTACGTACTGATCTCAATTTGTCCGAATTTCTCTCCATGCTGACCGCAAAATTTATTTTGAAAATAAATGTAGCTTGGAAAGTCAACCATAATCTGAATACTTTTCAAATTTTCTGAAAAGATTTTTGAGCTTGCATTCTTCCGCCTCATTGATACAAATATTAAAATTGCAACTAAGATTAACATTGCAATTCGTTGCAGAAAGACTGAACTTTGCGTCGCAGAAAACAAAAGACCTCAGCATCGCGCCTGACTAGAACTAATGCTATATCCCTGCAAAAATTATCGGGAATAACCGATACGGAGAGGAGTGATCTATGGTTAAGAAGGACGCGTGTATTTTTCTCACGCCAAGTGCGTATCGTTCCACGTGTCACCGATAATCGCGGAACTGGAGAATGCGTCGCGGTTTTCGTACTATGTATTATATATGAGTCACACGCTGATTCTGACGGACGTATCGTGTGTGATTTTCGCTGAAAAGCACCATCAACGGAGACACTTTAATCGAATGCTGTTTCATTGTAAGTGGAAATTGCGTCTTCTAATGCAACGCGCGTCATTTTTAAAGAAAGCTAGTAGAATGTTCGAATGAATATAACTTTGAACAAGTCACATTTCACGAGAATTGCTTATTTGATGTGTATACAAAGAACGAGTGTACTTCGAATTTATAAATGATCTCTTTATTTTAATTGGGAATTTAATTAGGATCTAAACTTTTCAAAATTTTATGTAATTAAAAATTATTAATAGTAAGTCATCGATGAATAACCAGTTATTTTAGTAAACAATTGTTTTTATCCTTAGATACTTAATTATTAAAAATTAATGTTATTTCTTTTTATTCTTTTATCATTTCTTTTTTTCTAAGAGATAGAATTATCCATGCGATATTAATATATTCTAAGAATTTTCGAATCCTTTCTTTGGGCATCTTTTGTACTTCTTATACAAAAGCCTGCATTATTTTACATGATATTGAAGCGAGCACAAATTTAACGGTTATCCATCCATGCATTTATCTTACGAACTTATGAGAACCAAATTTAATTTTGTAGCGATTCTTTGATGGATCAACTCGAAAACATTATATAGGCTCTACAAAAATTATAAATGAAACGTCATATCTCGATGTCATTCACCTTTCTAGCACAGCACACGATCATGTATCCGAGCATAATACTATTGTCAACCATGATGGCCACCATCACTGCCGAAAGCATCTTAATGACTGAGGTCTTTGTCATTCCCATTAGACCTGAGATCTTTGATTGGAGTGCAGATGGTAAGAAAACCACACTCGGGTTCTCTGAACTCTTCTCAACTGTCAGAAAGATTTCATTATGAGTAGATCTATAGATCTTTATCCAGTAGATAACCCCTTGATAGCCTTGTAGCCTTTGTTAAAAGATGTATTGAAAAGAAAAATAACGGAAGAAACCAGACATCATCTTGTAAAAAAATACCGGAAAAAACCAGATGTCATCTTGTAAAAAAAAAAAGAGAAAATCAATATGCTATATTATATTTTATCTTTTCTGATACATAATCGCGTATTATTATCAGCAAAGCTCGGAAAATCGAGAAGAAAAATAATAAAGATTAATGCAGCTTTATCCGAGTTCTATTCTAATAATAATAATCATAAAGACTTTTGCGAGGGTGGTCTTATTGCTAGTTGTTGATTACATCACTGTTTTATCCAATTACATTTTTCTTTCTTGATACAAGATGACAAGAAAATTATAATAAAAGATATTTCCATTTTTATGTACTAAAGTTGTACAATATAAAGGTTATTATTTTCATAAAACATAATCTTTAAAAAATATTTTTATGGAATATAATTTTTCTGTAACAATCAGTTGTGCCATTTTTTTGTTTCTTACGAATCAAAATTAAATAAATGTTCCGCGACTAAAGTTTTCCTAAAAGAAGAAATGTCAGGTAGCTATAATTATACATAGTTAGCCGTTAACCCATTTTACAATACGAAATTAAACTATGTCTCCGTACGTCATTCGTAACGCGCTGCGAATAGCAATTACTTGCTAGACCGTTGTAAACGTTACGCTGACCTTATGGCCAACATTGTCACACACCGCGATACTTTCTAATTCAACGCCTTCAAACAATTTCAAATCTGTCACACAAAACAAGTTATTAAAGTTATCGCTCTTAGAATATCATATTTATCAGACCAGACAAGGCCACTTTTTACATTCAAGTAGAAAAATGCATTTTTTATCTTTACTTCAATCGATTAATCACTTCAAGAGAAGTAAAGGGATCTTAGAGATCATAGAAATTCTAAACCACGTAACGATATGTTTGAACATTTTAGCAGTTTTATTTTAAAGATATTCTTTTACCACGTTTCTGCACTTATTTTTACCTTTTTTTAATAACATTAAAAAGTTCTTGTTAAGGTTATTCTGCCTATCGTATTAATTTTAATAAAAATCCTAAACATTTATCTGGAAAATTTTTATTAAATATTTTCAACTCTTCTCAAGAATTCTATAAAAAAATTTATTATTTTTAAAGATAATTAATTTTTCGTATTTTCTACCGCAGGCATTACTTTTACTGTGCCGCTTTATTTCAGGGCACTCCGATCAATTTTCGTATCAACCATCGTTACTAAACGCCCCCGATCTTCCATCGTGGATACACTACACGTACAGCAAGAAGGATCATCATGGGTTTTTATACGGCGTCGCGCCCAAAGATCAGAAATATTTTCAGGTAACACGCAATCGCTATATCAACTCACTCACTAGTCTTTGTTTCTGGCATATCATCGATCGTATTAAATAAACGCGATAATAATTTCAGCTGGAGATTGTCGGGTTGAACAAGCACACTTACGAAACCCGCTACAAGGTGCTCGACATGAATGTACTCGAGAGGGAAAATCTGACGAAATACGAGGTGCATCTGAAGATCGACAACCTCAACGTGGAGGATATGTTCGATCACAATCGCACCGAGAAACTCCTCGATATATTTAGGTTTGTTGCTGAGCGAAAATTTTCTCGCGATACTTCGATTCCATAATTCCAACGTCCTTGATACCGATAGCGCACTTGCAATTTCCTTCCTCGAGCGTGATTTGTAAACAGGGAAATTTCTTGACACATGATATAGTAATGCGATAATTATGTTAGCGCGATAAACACATTCTATTTTTCACCGCAGGAAGAAGTTGTGGAAAGGTGCTGCGGATCTGTACGTGACTTTCTTGGCATCTGCCATTGAGCTGGGAGCTCGTTTACCTCTCAAGCCTAGCGAAGGTGAAGGGTGAGTCACGTTTCTGGATTATCCTCTGTCAAAACTAACTTAGCCCTTAAGCCCCGAGGCTTCTCTGCGATTAGTTCGACAGAACTTTGAGTTATAATTTCTGTTTTTTTTTATCTCAGAGCGTTTCGAGTTATTAATCGTCGAGAAAGTACACACAAATATTTGCACACAATTACGCGAGTTGAAGTATTAAAGTTATTGAACAATAATTAATTAAAGAAAAATAAATTATTTGTGGACGATAGTTCTTTTAAACGAATTCTTTCCCGATTCTTTCATTGAACGTTATTAAAGAAATTAGTCGTTTACGCGATTGATATTAACTGGAATTACAAATTGACGGGGGAATAAAATTTTATAGAAACGTAGTAACTTAGTGACATGGTTGTGAAAACGATACTGCCACGACGAGATGAAGCAGTTTCTCTGATATCGCTGACGTACTAATCATCCGATTAACCGCAAGCAGTGCCGTGATGTGCATCCGACGGTTGTTATTAAAATTATATACATATTGCTACTTCCTACATGCGCTATCGTTTATGCGACTGACGGGAAGAACGTAGGTACGCTCTTATCGGAAACTGGATATGTTTAATCTAATTATGGCCGATAGCTTTGAGGAATGGAAGTCATTAAAAGATAGCGATCGATGTCACGGTCGCGCCTGCTTTTGTCCAACATTTTATTCATCGCACGCTTTAAATATACGAAGTATTCTATTATTATAGAATATTGGAATTAATAATGATTCATTAAGCATGCCTACACCGCGCCGAACTGAAGCGAATAATGTCAAACAGGTTTCGTCGTAACGTTGAGCTCGTGACGTCGCGCTTTTCGCAACGTATAATGCATACTAATAAAATTTACATAAATTTTAGCGCGCCGAAGAAATTCTGTGCGAACGGACTCGAATTGCAATTCACGATTTTTATCGATTGCGTCACCGCGATTAAATGTGTTGTGCGACAAATTTTGTGGATCGCATCGACGCGCCTTCGTGACGTGGTTCATAGACTACGCGATAAGATGCCGTCATCCATAGCATCCGTGAGTAACAGTACCGTTATTCACGCGTATTCCCCGGAATAAACTTTCAGTTTCGCAGAAAACTGCGAATCGGTGGACTTTCCATTGAGAATTCACCATCGCGCGATTCGCGCGCCGAGTGACTCCCCTAAGATCTCCAATTTTACGGATCAACGATCATGACTTATCGCGGTACTTTTACGGGCACGTAAAGCCTGATAATGCGACGCGCTTCCCCGCTTCTGTATCTATCACGCTTCTCGTAGGAAAATACGTCTCCGAAGCGACGTGGATTTTCTCCAATCGAATGAATGCACTGCGTGTTGTTGACACAGATAATGTTATTCTTCTCACGGCGAGATTCGTGCGAAAACGCTGACTGAGATTTGCGCGAAAATAGAAATGAAAAAAATAAGGAAATACTGCCGGACAGATATGGCGGTGTGCGCAAGGAAGTCGGTCGGTTGTTTAAGCGCGCGTTGCGTTTTTCCGCGTACTAACAATAACGGAAATTTAATCACGATCGATTAGAGTCTCGGAATTGAAATTTTACTCATCCAAGCATGTTGCGTGCGAAACAGCTGAGGAAAATAATTTTGTTGTGCGCGCGTAATAGTGAGACGAGTGTTGATGTTATTGAAGCGCGGCGTGGCGTGGGCAGACTTCCTTCCGGTGCAACAATATACGGCATAAAAACAACGTACTTGAACATGAGCGCGCCGCATCAAAAGAAATTTCAATTCGTTACGAAACCGTTGTTGCGTCGACGTGACACAGGACGTGACGCGAGACGCACTGGGGGCAAAAAAGAGAAAGAGAGAGAGAGAGAGAGACATGCATTATTCCCGATGTAGATTTATGTTTGGACAAATACCTCGGGGCGAAGTGAGGAACAGTTTCGCAACGAGATATCGATTCATTATGAAGCAGTTCAAACTCACATTTACACCGCGACGTGTTCTCAATCCCGATCGGTGAGATCGAAAACAACAGTCTTTCTCACGGAACAAGGCCAATTACTAATAACATATTGGATAAATATGTTTTCTTACTGTTTTAATCTGTCCAGATTCGTGTTCGCTCAAAGTGATGTTCTGATTCATCGCACCTGACTTATCTCGTGCAATTTAATTAAAATCGAATCAGTCATTATGGAAACGATATGAGTCAACTTTTTTATAAAAGCAAATAAAAAAAATTAATTATCTTCTCTTAAGAAAAAAAGTGCGTTACGATTAAAAATAATGCATGCATGTATGATTTGTATATGTATAATGCGAACAAAATTGTTCGGGCTATATTTTGTTTGCAATTTTCGCGAAACAAAAAATTCAAGAATAAAGAATCGCGAATTTTTTTCGTTTGTTTTTATCACACGTGCGTCATTTTTTTGTAATCTGCACAATCATCCGGATAAAAATTTTTATTTCGCGCCGTTAAAAATTGCCGAGGCGGTTTTGCATCTGCAACGGATATGCATTCCCGCTTCGCCGGCTGGTGCGCCGTGTCTGCCGCCGCTGCGATACTATTGTTAGAAAAAAAAACGTGACACAAAACCGCAATGGATAACAGCCTCGAATCGTAGGCCGCTTCTAACGTAACGCTATTGTTCTTATAATACGATATCGCCATGTGTTCAACAGATTTAGATAATCGAGGAGTTACCTTTTTCGTCTCGGCGTGACGCCTACGCGTATCTCTCTTACGTTTGAATCACCAGCGTGTTGTCACCGTACTTTGTGATCAACGCCAAGACGTGGGGCGCACGTATCACGCGAACGAGCAAAATCGCGCGTCTACGATGATGAAACGTGTGACGCGATTAATCTTTCTGCGATGGCAAGATAAATCGACTACACCTATTACACACACACACACACACATATATTGCAAAGCACCGAAAACACTCACTGCAAAATGTGTATTTAATTAGAGACAAGTAGAGCGAATCATCTAAACTGCGACCGGGGTCAGACTCCACGAGACTTTATTGCCCAGTCCTTCGTCCGTCTGGCTCTTTTTTTAGAAACTATGTTATCCGAGTTATCGTGATCGGAGCGAAATTGCACGCTTGCGACGACGGGACGACGTGCACCGTGGCGCGATTAATTCTTCCTTTTCTCTGTCACGATTGAGATAAATCGATTACATCGATCAATCGATATACACACTATTCCCGCCGATTATCACTTTCAGGTTTATTGCGTCAAAGTACGATGACACCAGTCAGCGGCAATTATTCTTAACGCAAATGTGACATTGTCGCCGCGCTCGGGACACTTAACTGATTGACTGGCAGGGGCTTGTTTCCACTGGCAGATGATAAGGCCGCGCCTAAGGAGCCACCTCGTGCATTCGACCTTAGATACGTATCAGTGCATCGTATCGTTGCGTATCAGTGAAAGCCGGGAGTGAGCGATCGTGAGATCGTCGGGCTTTGATTGCGCGTCAACATCGGCCGCTGCGGGCTTCGTCAAAATTAATTAACTACGGATTATCAACGTGAACTTTCGATTATCAAGGAGTCACGTATATAATTAAGAGATAAGTTTCCAAATCGAATAGAAAAAAGTACAAAATTAATTAATTTTTAATCGAATCGCATTGTGTCATTAGCTCGCCTATGCGAAAGTAGGCAAATCTTTCTTTCGGACAGAAGCAAGAGTTACGTAAATAACAAACATCAATCAATCTTGCGTGTCCTGTATGCTGATCGGTCACGGTGTGGTGAGCCCGCGTAGTGTGTGAGCGTTGGATTAATATTACATGTATTACTCGCGGCGTATCGCGATGATTAGCCTCGAGGGCTGTTATTTGATCGATGGAGATATTTGCGAGGGATATCGAATTTAAACGCGCGGGGTATGCGATCTGTCATTCGCACACAAGAAAGCTCGATTTCATGGAGTAATAAATTATGTAATTCTACGACGAACGGAAGGTTAAAGTCAGCGGGATACGTTCAGCGGGATTATGATTTAGACTCTGTCAATGCGCAATAATATAATTATTCGAATGAGCGAGAGGTTGAGATCATCAGTCAGAGTGTCATTAGACACAATCAGAGCTATGACTCGTAATCGATCATTTAACAATCAGAATTTGCTGATCGAAATAATCTTTTGAAAATAATATCGACGTTGGAATAGGTCATGAAATAAGATGTATTGTGAAACGCCGATGAGAAAAGGAGATTAAAAATAGTTCGTCGTGTGTAACAACGTGCAGTGTTAACAATCTGCGAGACCAGACAAAACGGTTGCCGCATTTATTGTTAACACACGGCGGGCACACATGCGGGCAAAAGTCCCACGCGTGCTACTTAAAGGAATCCTTGACAGGAGTGACGCAAGTACCGAGTGAATATCGCGGAATGATTCGTCTGATCGTTTGCGATGTCGAGTCAAAGTTTCTTCGTAATGTCGCGAGCGGTAGCTCCTTGACTCAAGCGAGTCCTTTTTGACTCACCGATTCTCACCGATTCATCTTACATTTCGCCGAAATCAGATATCGTTCCCGAATGTCTTCCTGAGAAAGAAAAGGAAAAAGAGAGCGAAGTTGTCGCTTTTGTTGCAGGGTCGTCGTCAGATTGGGCAGCACGGTGCCGTTCTCGCAGGAGCTGAACGAGCTGCAGGAGGAGGTAAAACCACTATGGAAAATGCCGTCGTGTCCCAGAGATTTTAAGAGGACCAGCGTGGAGATACTTTTCCGCGAGGCTGAGTTCAGATTAGATTGGTGCTCCTTTAGATTGGTAAGTTGATTAAATTGCGTTGTTACACGCGAGACTTCGCTTGAGAAAAATTCCACGTATCTTCAGTGAAAATCTCAATAATCACTCGCCTGCTTTACATTCATCCGCATCACCTGGCCTTTTCAAAAATTATGCAATCGCCATGTTATGTATTATCACGTCATTGTAAACATGCAATTATTTTCTCGCGATCTTTGTCGATTTCCAGGCATGACACTGTACATTGCACTCGATCGTCATCGCATACCTCTCGAATGTTTTTACAGTCATCATAATTATCCTTAATTTACGCAGTTGCCAGTCTTCCGCATACTCATCTCAATTAATCAATTTCCACGTAAGACACGTTTGATTCGTGCAATTTCGTAAAAGATACCGATCATCCTAGTCCCACGTGCCACTTTTGTAATTAGTTTTGTAGCACATTGTTATACGACATTCCCTCCGCCAGTGGCATAAAGGCATCATTTCCTGTTAGCTCGACGAAGACCAGCACAGTCTGAAGCACAAGAGCCCCAGCGCGAACGTTGTGGATCTGCCTTCGTCGGGCATTTCCGAACACACCGAGTGGCGTTGGGCTCGTTCGACGAAAGCCAGCATACCTACGAGAAGCTACTTCAAGGAAATCGCCACCACGATTTTCGTACCGGTCATTCTGCTCCTCGTGCTGGGCGCCTTACTTAGCACCGCTCTCTGCCTGCATCACGAGAAAATGTAAGCGCTCATCGAAGGAAAACCGGTCAGAGAGTTGCTTTGACGCGATGGTCATCTGCATTCCGGAAAAAATGTTTCTAGCGATTTTATTCGCGGATTTCTGTCGTGAATTAATTTATATCTCATATTTTGTTGTAACTCAACAGATTTCATTGAATTTTCATAAGATTACAATATTTTTTTACTATATTTAAGAAGGCATTGACGTATCTTTTTTCTGCGTATAGCGGATATGCCCATAAAAAGAGAAAATCTGTAAATACGTCTAGTCAGCGTCTAATCAGTGTTTTTTCTCCGCTTCACGTTTACTTCGATTATATCTGTTTGTTTTATGACGCAGCTTTGACTGCTACGTCATATATCAATGACGTTTTGTATTTCTTTGATAATTGCGATATGCACGCATATGAATGACGCTTTATTTTCCGTCAATTTCTATTCGAGTTCTTCAATCATTAAATGCAAATCAAGCGAAGATTAAGAAGATTACAAATTTTTTTATCATATCGGCTTACATTAAACCGACATTCTTCGAAAGTCTACAGCGTCGAAATGTATCTGTTGTTCCGTGCATATCATTGCATGCCGACCAAATTTTTTTGACCGTGACCAGAGAGACGCATTAAGAGTAGGAGCGATATGGAGAGGGGCTGCTATTGTTGTTGTTATTACTACTACGAGTTTCATTCACAAGTAACAATATCGGATCAGATAGATATATCAGTGACGTAGATCGACACACCCGCTGACATGATTAAAATTACAAAGCGTCGGATAGCACGCTTGACAAATAAATTCGGAAAGTGTGCGCGTTGCAACCGTTATTCGTGACGCACATGGAAAAACGCAAACCTAAGATCAATTAAATGAAATTAGTGTAAAACGCTGTTTTCGGCATCATCAACGTAGGATTCTGTGTTAATAAAAAAATACCCAAGCAGTAAATGATCGTTATCTGACGTCTTTTTGTCGTCATAATTGATTATTATAATCAATTAATTATTATAATCAATTGATTATTACAATCAATTGATTATTATAGTCAATAAAATTGATCGCGCATCGATAAAACATGTCGCATTGATGAAGAAAAAGGATAAGATATATATAAATAATTACTTCGCGAATCTATGCAAGAAATCTAACTGAATGTAAAATATTAGCTTTGGCATAAGCGCGAACGGAAGCACCATTCAGTTTATGACGTACATCAGTAATTACGATGTATATTACGTAATTATAGTAGTATGAAGCGCGTACACAAGCGGCTGTTATTAAGTACATAGCTTCATCTACAAAGCGGCCGACCAGAATCACCAAAAACATCTCAATGACGAATTCAAAGTTATTTTTTTTCGTAAATATTTTTTGAAGGAGTTAAATAGAAAGATATCCAGACACACACAAGTCTTAAAGATCTTAAAGATATCTGAAAGACGTCTAAAAAACGTCTGAAAAATGACACTTCTTTATGCTTAATTGTCACAATTATTTATCATCGAAATTTAATAATTTTCACAAAAATAGCGCACGATTAAACCGTCGCTAAGGAATAATTTTTTCAGTATATTTGTATGTTAAAAAAATTAGAGGCAGTTTATTTCGTGTCTCGCGACGTTCCAGTTTCCCTTGCTTGCAGCTCGGGGCGGTAAAAAAAAACGGCCATTCAGGGCCGGTAATTTGCGACTAATGAGTTAATAAAGAAGCGAAGGCTATCTTTTCTAGAGGCGGTAAAAAGATCAAAATTACACAGTCGTCGGGACAATATAGTTTACACATTGCACATGCGAACACAAATAACCGGTTGCGGGCGTGCACGGGCGTGCATCGAATCGGGATTCTTATACGTGTGATGTAACTGATCCAATTATGATCTTATTATGGACGCTATGTGCGTCATGTTTATCTCGTACAAATACTCATGAAACAAAATGCAGTTATTTTAGCTCGACGAATGTCTAAGTTGTTTGGGTTCGGATCATTGACGACAATTAAACTGATAATTGCCACGCGGTGACATTTAACATCTTGCTTATATTTTTTAATTTAATATTATTGCGTCTGTTTTCGCCAGCCGTCACCTCAATCATTTTGTAGATCACTATACAAACTGCCGAAACAACTGTCTATCCAATCTCGAGCGGTAATTTCCAAATATCCTCGAGAGAGTGCAGTGACCGCCTCTTCGTAGCCTTTAGCGGTTTGCTTAATCAGCTGGCTGTCAATAATATCGGTAATGGAATCTCCCGCAGCAGAAAGCAGACAAAAAAGAGAGAGAGAAGAAATAAAAAAAAAAAAAATTGAAAAGAACGCGTAAAAAAATTGAAGGAAGAAGCCAAATAATAAATATAAAGAAAAGGTAATGACAAATAACGACAGGAAGACAGTAAGAAAAAAAGATATCAATTTTTTAAAATTTCATATATATATTATAATCGATTCCCTTCATCATTCAACGATATCTACTGATACTATAATATCATTAATTTCTGACAATATATATTTCTCAAGGCATTCGCGCCGCGGTGATGATACTTGTATTAAGAAAATGTTGATAATCTTTTTTTTTTCAATAGTTATGCCTAGTCACGGCCATGACAGTGCGAAATCGTGTCACTTGATCTTTCTCTCTCTCTTTTATCAAAGGCTCGCTCATACGTGTACATACACGTACGCGGTTACCATATCGTCGCACACTTGCCTCTCACGTGGTCGTGATACACACATTAGCTGGGCGCGTGGCGTGCGTTCGTGCGTGCGATGCACGGCGAACGGGTAAGTGACCGCCAGCGATCGGTACTTTACGATCAACGGTCAGATGGTGTGTGACGCGTTCGGAATCGGAGTGATGCAACAGAATCACTTATCGGCAGCCGCGGTTCGTCTGTTCACGCGGAAATAGATCGACGTGTGTGCAGCTATTTCCGCCGATCGGCGACCGCGTGCTAATTTTACGCACCGATCGATGTAAACACCGTCTGAGTTTTGTATTCTTGAGTCGCATGTCTGGTCGCGCGTCTGGTCCACTAAAAATCTCTCACTCCCGCTTGTCTACAATTGCAATGCATCGAGCAACGATTCACTGCTTAAACGCTTTGTCATTTTGCAAATTTATGTAAAGTATGAGAAGAATATGAAAAAAGAATTCTATAACCAAAATTCATATACAAAGCGTATTGTATATGAAAAGGACAAAAACAACCATGTATTAAAATATATAAAAGTGTTATTTAATACTTTTTAAATATTATCTTAAACACAAAACAGAGATCTGAGAGATATTCACAAAACGTTTGAAGAGTTCAGACGTCTTTAAAGATACTTGATATTGTATTTGGAATATCATTTTATTGCATATTTTACAGTTATAAACAACTATTCGTATTCTGCAAGTAAGATAAGATATAGCAGGTTCTAATAATATCAACAAGTTTGCGAAATGACATAATGCTGTCTCAGCTTCAATTACTGGTCACAAAAGCGACATGGCCCGGCCAAGCTATACCACTGTAAAAGGTGTAAAGTGCCCGGAAATGATGCTTACAATGACTACAAAAGCCACTTTACAAAGTTACCGTCATAAGTGCCGCTGTGAAGTCTATAGGCTTTTCTGTGCACTTATGAGAAAGCGTTTGAGAATTGGAGATTTCCGTATTTTATTTGCATAAAACGCTCGAATGAAAATTTATGTTAAGAGACGTATCGTTTAATTAATCTGGAATTATGTTGTTAAATTATTAATTGTTCGATTATTTCTCAATTCCTTTAATTCTATTATATTACGGCTCGTAATTTCCAAGCAATTAATCTAATTGAGTTTATTAATATGTGTACGGTTCTTCCAAGTAACTTTTTATTAATTTCAGCGACTTCGCGACACACTTTTTTACCTTACATAATATATTTTTGATGATACCAGCTAATCTATTATAATAAGACATTTTGCGTCAGAGAATATCAATGTTTATCGTAAATATTTAATGAGGCCTCTTGAACGTTTCGACGATAAAGCGTATCGAACAACACACAAAATCGCATCTAATCTAATCGTTAATATTTCGTTTTAACATCAATATTTTTCGCGATGGAGACGGATAAATCTTGCTAGGTAATTTGTAAACATCTCATATCGTGAAATATAATTAATACGAGAAATAAACATGAATCTTTAATCATTTTGCTTAAGTGCGTTTGGTTGTAGGTAATAAATAAGACATTCGGTAAGAATGTGAAAAATTATCGATTTTAAATCTTTATAAAAATTTTTCTAGATATTTTTAGATATAAAAAATTATTACAAAACATAGATAAAACCTTGAATAAAATTCATATTTCGGCGTTTTAGATTTCTGCATTTATTCGCGTGACGACGAAGGTTGACCGTAATTGGCGGAAGCTAGGTTTCTTCTATCAAAATTCTGCAAGCTAGCGGTCACAGCAAATCCGATCTGCGATCATAATTAAAGGCATATCGCGGCGCGGAATGCAGCAGAACTCTGTTAACGACTTTTAATCGGGTCCGCCGGCTATTCGCGGTGCGTGATAATCGGCGAGAAGGCGACCCTGCTGTTCGTGCGTGTATTCGAGCGTATCCGTGGGGCGCAACAATTTTCATTGGCGCGTCGCGATAATAAGTCAATTACGTCGTGTCACACGTGACGATTGACGCAGCACTGACGCAGCCCGTGTTCATTTCGCGTGGCTATGGCATTGGGAATCGGTGGGATCCATTGAAGTTACAATCGACGTCGCGTAACGCGACCGCGCGCGATCGAATTTCTTTTCGCATATTTGTCGGAATCGCGTTCGCGTTTTCCCAAGGGTCGCGGAGAAATCGCGGCCGCGGTCCACGCGGCGCGATCAAGGTAATCGCGCGGTTGATAATGCGGGCGCTGCACAAACAGGAACAGGACTCGCGCGTATGACGTGCGATATGACTCATTAAAAAATTCTGGTCGCAAATGCGAAGAGAAGCCCGCAGAAAACCCGTTTGTCGGCAGAATTCGCTGATTGTAAAAGCTCGTCACGCGAAAGGAATTCGATTTTCTCTATAATTGTACGACTAAGAGGTTTTACCATGGCGCTTTCTGGAGTTCAGGGGATTTCAGGGAGTTTTAAGGCAATATCTATCGATTTTCTTCTTATCGCATCGGCTATGAGAATTCAATTAAATGTCGTAAATGGCGCAAACTTCCTATTTCGAGATCTTAAACAGTTTGAAATCTCATCGCAAAGAAAATATTATTTTAGCGAAGTAATATTTTATTGCTATATCTCGATTGCAAGGATAATGGGAATACTTGCGACAGCAATTATGTGTTTACATGGTTTACTACGGCAAACGATCATAAATATCAAAAGCTATCTCAATAACAAATGAATGCTGAATGGTATTTAAACTTTGTCCGGCGAGATTTCATAAATATTTATAGAATTTTTTCATTTCTTACTGCATATCTTTATAGCTCCGACGTTTGTGACTATTATGTTCTGACGCAAATGGTAATTAAGATGTCGACCATTGTGAGAAAAATAATCACCATTATCCAATTATAAAAGTCATTTTTTGTGATATATAGTTTAATCGGATAATATAATTTATGATTGATACAAAGGTCAAACCGACCGGCGGTGGTGTTTACACTAAAATTATCAATTAATTGCTATTTAAAGATCACTTTTTTTTCAACAAAACCTAGGGTTTTATATTTTATTTTCCTAGGACGGACCCGGAGTCAGACGAATATTTTGACGAACTTTTTAATATTTTCCTTATCAGAGAACAACCCGTCAGGTACGTTCACTCTGTATAATTTATTCAATATTTTGATAGGTGCTAATTTTTGCAAAATGACACAACGTTGCTAAAATATTACTAACTTTCAGTTTGGCGTGAGCAATAATGTATCACATATTAATAGAATTCAACTAAATTCATAATTTTAATTAATTCAGTTTTTTTAATTTTTATTTTTGATTAGTTTCCCCATGTAAAAAGCTTCCCTAATTTATCATACCCGCATGTCTGTCACATAAAACTCGACAATATTTAAATATGACTGAATACTAAATTATTTACAATATCTGCTTCTTAGAAGCGCATACTAATAAATACACGAGTATCATTATGATATGATAATCATGATAATAAAACAACATTACTTAGAATAGCTTTCTTTCTTTCACTCATTTAATTCATGTTAAAAATAAGAATTTTATTCGTGCTCATAACTCTGTTTTTATTGCATTATGTAAATGCAAAATCCGAATTGCAAAGAATCAATTAGAAGTTCTGTTATACTTAAATGTCCGGTTTAACGACCCGATGCTCTTTTGCAGCGAGAAACGGGAACCTACGCCAATGGAGGGAGTCGGAAACAACGGAATACAAATGGTGCAGTATGCTATGTCGGAGAGAGGTACTCTGAAATCGCTGTCAGCTCAACCGCCGAGCCCGAGTGAATCTCTATCGCGAAGCCCAAGGTAGAACATCAACATAGTGATTAATAGAATACAATTTCGACAAACTTAATTTTCGACTGTAAACATAAAAAAACTTTTGTCGTGCAAATTTGTCGCGAATTATAATGCAAAAAATTTATTTCTTTATAACGGAATCTGAACTCATACGAGTATGACCCTGTGGAAATCAGTATGACTAAATGTTCGATAAATATTTAAACATTTTTTTCCCACGTGGAACTACCATGTCGGAAAATCCTATTTTAGATAAGATACAAAAAGTCACATCAATTAATTATTACGTTATTGCATAACAGGCTATCGTTTCTTGGGAAGAGAATATCGCGTGTAATTCATAATTCATTAATCAAACGAATGCATTACAGTACTACATTAGACAATATATAGCGCTATAATTGCTTCCAGTCAAATGCACTTCTCTCTCTCTCCCAACATAATCGCATTGTGAATCTGTTACGTAGAAGTCATAAAGAGGCGTTCGCGCGAAGCCTCTCAAATGAGTTTTTTCACTTCTTACAACAGTATTACGCACGACATAATTTAATTGTGTATTGTAACAAATACGCTTGAATCTACATCACGGAATGTTTCGGATAATTTAATATAAAGTCATAAAAATAAAATTTAGAAAAATATTTAAAAGGAGTCTAAAAAACATCTGAAAAATTGACAATTTTTACTTGTCTCTATGGTGTCTATTATATATCATGATTGAATATTATCTTTCAGGATCTCTGGCGAACGCTGTAATCCATACGTTCGTCCAAACCCGCCACCTTATACCGGACCGAGCAATTTGTAAGTATTCTCGATTGCGATTTTTATATACAATATATGCTAAAGTCTGTGTAATTTGTTCAATTCGCGTTCACAGTGCCAGTTTACGTGCTGATTTCTGACTACACGAGCAGCCCGCGAAGACATGGTTTTGCTGAATTATAGTTCGCGGGTGGCTTTCAATCAACGTATTCACGGTATGCCGGTAAATTCATCGAAACCAGCTCCAAATTTGCAAGTTGAATCAGATATTAAATACATGTGTCACTAGTTATCGGTAACCATAAATATGTACTTGCGTCACGCTTCCCAAGCCTGGTTCGCTGATATGTTAAGTGCTTTTTGAGAAGTTGATTTGCGTCTAGAAAATTTTTCGTAGACAAATATAGACGCAAATAGAGTTGTGAACATAAAGGACTGTTTTTCTTGGACAATATGTTGCACAGGACTACTTATGCATTGTAACAAATTATATTGTATGACATTTGATGTGATTGTATTTTAAAATAGTTGTAGCGCGATATATTTCTATTGAAATAAGCAATAAATGTACGATATTAAAAACGTATTTTTGATTGTTGCGCAATCAAATGATGGGTATTTAAAATTTCATTAATGTTGATCATTTCATTTATAATCGATTTCGATATTGTGTTCGACTGTGTAGGTTATTCGCAATTTTTGCGGATATTATATTGCGTTATTTACATAGCGACTAGAGAAGTAAGATAAGTACATTTACTCAGAAAATAAAAATTATTCAACGAATTACAAATTATGTATCATCTGTTAAATGAATCATTAAAATCTTTAACATAAAGCTTTTAATTACATACCCTCAGCGAGATGTCCGTTGATTTTCTATCGACTGTTGTGTTTGGAAAGACTTGATGTGATTGTGCAACGCATCTGTAAGATAAAATAAAAATATGGAAGAAAAAATGGCAGAGTTGAGAGGACAAACAATATAAGAACTATGAATAAATAATCATTACAAAATGATACCTTAGCAATCAATCTAGATTAGAAATTTCTAACGACTAACGGACGACTAACGGATTATTGCGGTGTGAACAAGCAATTAAAATCTCAGTCTTCCAACTGTGAAAAACTAAAATATATTCAACGAACGATTCAATTTTTAGAGCAGCACTGATGCGCCCGGCGTTTGTTTATGTACCCAACTTTACAACCCTAACCCTAACCTAACTTAACCTATTTGACCTAACCTAATTTTGTGGCTAGAGACGCGCACGCGCGCGTATTATATTGTGCACCCGCGCTTACTAGTTATTCAACAGGAGTCCTCGGCGAAGCATACGACGAATGTTGTGATTTTTGCGTTCCGTACTCGGCGATCTGGGCCGCAGGACAACAGGCAATACTTGTCGCCAGCGAGGTTCGAGTGCGCGGAATCTCGCGACGATCGCAAAGTGTTTTCTGTTCTAATCGTGAATGATGGCTGGTATTGTGCCGCTGTCCGGTAGATCCGGCAGAAAACAGTGGACGCTGCACGGTAATCATCTCCGAATTGATCTCGATAAAACCTTGAGAGAACACGAACGCCTGGAAGCTACTTGAACAAGGGCACAAAAATTGTTTATGTCTGACGAGCACACGTGACCTGCAATAAAAAGAGCGGGACATACAAGACATGTGTAATATGTCTTTTGCACAAATACACAAATAAATCAAATAATTATTAAACAAGAATTGATGAAAATTGATTTATTATCACCAAATGGTATTATTACACAATGTGATGCAAAATTGAGTAAATCAACAATTAATATTTTATTTAAAATGTTCTTTTTATCTTAGCAATATTCAAGTTGATAAAAGTATGTCATTAATTGTCAATTAATTACGTAATGATATATAATTATTATATTATCAAGATTGTGAAAGAAATTTAAATAAGATTTTGAAGATAATCACAGTCTCTTATGCACTTATATAGTAGGAATGTATGAAACTGTTAATTTATTATTAACGTGTCTCATGTGATTAGATAATGAATTATGATTAGTTTGCTAATTGTAAGTTCTATTTACAGATGGACCAAAAGGTTCTCTTAGACGATTACGTTCTCGAATGGCAGAAGATGGTTGTCCAGAATCTCAAGTGATTTTGGCTAAACAATTATTGGAGGAACGATGCGGTAAGCTGTAATATAAATTACTAAAATATTGTCCATTGCTTTATTCTCACTGTAAATTTATCTGATTATCTGTAAGTTATCTGATTAACACTGAGTGACACTGTAAAGTTATCTAATTTATAAAATATATTTTAAGAGCTTGAGGTTGACAAAGAGGAAAATGCAAAATTGGGCGTTTATTGGCTGACGAAAGCCTCGGAACAAGGAAACTTGGAGGCAACTGACATTCTTAGGAAATGCTTAGCTACAGGTCGCGGCATAACGGAACACAACTATTATGATGTGAAGAATTGTCTGGACATGACACAAGATGAGAAATTGGCTAGAAGAGCAGCGAGAGAGATGTTTACAAGGTAAAGGATGAGTGAATAAAAAATTTTATTATTGAAAAAGTAAATAAAGTTCTGATGCATATACTATCATATAATACATTGAAATTGCCTTTTCATCAGCTTATCAAACGGTGAGGACTTTATCACTACAGAGCAACTGCAAAGACGTGTGAGGAGTTTGTCGTCTCCGTCGACAAGTAATAACCTCGACTACTCAAACTCTAGCAACAATTCTTCGCAAAAAAAACTAAATAACGACGATAACGATTGCTTCCCCAAAAACGGGCTTCCTGATGATTCTCCATCCATAAAGGATGAAGATCGAGTAAACGATGCTCATGGTAGGAAAATTTCTTAGAAATTTTTAAATCTTATTGTATTCTTTGTGTACTTACATGCGTTTTGTCATACAATTGTAGATTGGGCCGATCATCAAGGTGAGAAAATTACAGAAGCTGCTTTGGTCTCCGCAGCTACGAGTTACGCACGCGGGATGCTTCCAATAGTGTCGCACGCTCTTTGCATGATAGATCCTATTGAACGGACACTGGACACGATACCGCTGCTGCAAAGATCGTTCATTCATCCGTTTGCGTCATTGAAACGTCTCTACAGTTGGTTAATCGATACGCTTGGTCACAGAGGCGCGTCCATCAGAAAGATTCTCTTCACATCAAATCTACACATTCTATTGTTACTTTTATTATATTCTTTATTCGGTACGGAAAGCCTAATACTTTTCATACCGATAGCTCTGTATTATCTGTCATTCGCTGTCATGGTGATGGCCACTTTCCAAGTGCTCCAGCGGAAACGCGAGTTTAACAACTTCCGTGTGTGGTCCGGTCTGTTTCTGAGTTATTCCGGTGGCAATTTGAATCCCGAAGAAGCGGAGTACCAATTCTGCCGCAACAATCTGAAGCCGTACGGACACTTCTTCTCGCGTTGCTGCTAAACTTGATGATTTATCCTCTGATCGCTCACCAATGGACGCCGCAATCTGAATTTACCGTAATAGCGGTCACGCTGACTCTCATCACGCTCTACAATTTTGTATGGAAGGACGGCTCACGGTTTCCTGACTTTCTGGCTCTCTTCAGCTTTGGCGTGCACGTTCTCGCCAAGTATCCGTACGAGATGGATATGGTCGTGGCGCAGGGCTGGAGATTCTTAGACGTAAGAGTGCCGACGTTCGCGTCTTACGTTGTCGGCAACGGTATAGAGTTCTGTCTAAACTTCCGCGCGGTGTTTTATTTCCTGATACCAGCAGTCTTCGCAAAAATGGCTGCGAGGGACGGTTGGCGCGGCACGTATCGTACTCTGATACCCCACTGCGTTACTCTGAGTTGGTGGCAGATAGCAATCTTCAGTTCTCAAGGTGCCACGTGGTACGGCTTGATCAGAGGCACTCTCGCGCTGGTTGGTATGGTTCTATTTCTTCCAATTGCCGGTATAGCTTCGATCATTTTACCGATCGTGGCCATCACTAAATATTTATCAGAAAATGACATGGCGATGAGAATAACTGTTACAACTGTACTTGGAGGAATGCCGTTTTTGGCCTCGTGGTATCTGAGGAAAACTGGAGCATCAAGATTTAATTGGATCATTACGCTTGTTCAAGTACGTATATATATATATTTTTTTTTTTTTGTGTTAAGTATCATCATTTATTTATATATGCATATTATTCTAAAAATAATTTTTATAGATTGTCTTTGGCGTTGGCGCTGCGACATTCTTATCGTGGCCAATGATAATGGAGTATAAACAGGAATCCGACGTGGCATCGTATGAAATTGCGTCTACTTTAACATGGGATCAGTATCAAAATTACTGTCATCAACCTGCGTGGGAGGAATTGTCGTCGAAAGCGCAAGTGCAGGTGCAGTGTGCTCAGCTGGAAGGGGTACCAATTTCGTGGGAAGGCTACGTGACAAATATTAAATTAAAATCAGTAAAAAACAATATTGCAGCTGTATTAAATAAGCTGCCTGACAATATTAAAACGATACTGACTTGCTTGTACGGAGAACCGTACGAGGAAAGCTGTAATTCTAGAGATGATGTACGTAGAAAGAACTGCAAGCATATTGCAAGTGTACAAAAGAGGAGAAGTAAATGTCACTTTCCGGCTTGGGATCAATATGAGTTTGAGATCACCGTTAAGATGAAAAACGGTATATGGGGAAGTACAACGGAGATACATCTCGTGGCGGACCATTCGTTCACTAATTTTAGTCTGAACATATATCCAGGCGACAAAATTTGGTTTTCCGGTACGCTTCTGAACAACGGCTTGGAGAAAGAATTCCTTCTCGGTGGCGCCGAGCCACACGTTGAGCTGGAAGAAACAGGATGTCTCGCGTGCAACTCCGTTGACCTGAAAACGTCTTACAAACGTTATAGGTATCGTATTAGTATAAGCTCTATCATCAGGGATCTTTGTCTCAGCGTAAAGACTGTACTAAACTTTTTGTTAAATCCGATTGTGATGTTCAAGTGATCATGTTCCATGTGACTGAATCTTTTCAATCTTTCTAGCTTCTTTGACTTAACATAATGGTACTAATTCGATATAATTAGTTAATATCTTAGATTGTTTAACAATTGATATTAAAGATGGAATATCGTTTTTAATGGTCGTTTTATGGAAAGCAGAATTAATTTATAAGAATGTACCAAGAAAATTTAATTTTCTGGTACAATACATTTACGGTACAATATATTTGTTCTAAAAGCATCGTAACGATTATTGAAAGATTTATGTTTGGACGTCGATGTAATACGATGCATCGTTTTATCTCACAACAGATATTTAGAGTATATAATCTGTTATAACGATAACAGATTATTATTTTACATATATGTGTAAAATATATTAATAATATCGCACTATGTCTGATGATATGCTATGTACAGTATAATCTAAAAAGAATTGAAAGAAAAAACTGTTATATTATACACAACAACAAATCATATAAAATATATGAAAAAACAGCAATTCTTCACATGAACACACAAGTATATAAACATGCACACATGTGTGATAAGAAAGTAGAGAATAGTGCCAGTGTTTCGATGTTACCGATGCCTCAGGCAATATACATTAGTTATTATACTAGGCTTTCATGAAGAAACCATAATCCGCTTCAGAGTATTAAGATATATTTTAAGATTGATATATTTTCGTAAGCATTACTGCCAATAAAAGAAAAGAGAAGCTTGATATTTTTATATTTCTTTGTATTTTCGAGGAATGATTCGAGGAAGATAAGATCTTGTTTTAATACTGTATGTAATAAAAACTGCATTTTTTTACTAGGTTTATATATACACACATCTTTATAATAAAGTTTTCGTTAGTTTATATGGCAAGCAAAGGCAGTATGCAACCGATGCAATATAATGCAAATAATTTTAGATTATTCGGTTTATTATTATTGAAAGAAAATTATAATATTTATAGAGAACATCATGTATTAACCGATTTAAACCTCTACTTGATAAACATTTTATTCTAATATACTAAATATTTTAAAATTTAGTTACCTGAATAATGTAGATTTTAAGGAATATTGAAAACGTATATACAATAACGAACAACAACTCATTGTACATGAATGTTAAGTGTTTAGCTTTACGAAGTATATCTGTCTATACAACTAAAAAATTTTGTCGTACCACACAAAGGCAATAGGAACCAAGACAAGTGCAATAGCAAAGAAATGAGACAGATATAGATGTGCCTTGGTGTTTTCTGTTTGAATGATTTTATTGTTAATAATGAAATAATCTATCTGCTTCCTAAAAGCAAACACAAACCGATTAAATATGTTAAAACATTACAAATTCTTGCATTTTGATGTGCAAAAGTATATTTTTGTCATAAACAATATAGTAAGAAATATAGTAGAAAATTCAAAATATGATCTTATTCTAATATTTATTAGAAGTAATAAATTCTAATACCTCATACCTCCTATGGAAAACCAGACTTATTTATTTAGAATTATAGATATTTTTATTTTGGCAACAGAGCATGATACATTATTGTTTTGAATGACAACATCATGTCGATAACAAGACATTTGTTTATTAAACGGTTTGGTTCCCTTTTCAATTTCCATATAAAAGAATTACGATACAGAATTATATCATGCAATGACTTTATATTGAAGTAGAATTTCCCATATTGCATATATTCTTATGTGATGTTATTTTAATATTGCGTAATTTGTATGGGCAATAGTTTGTTTAAAACTGCAGACTCATATACACTCTTGAGAACAGTCTCCAACACAAACTTTACGCAACATGGGAGTTTCATAGTTGATAGTTTTCTTTATGTACAGATATAAAATTTATGTTAATAGTCTTTTTCACTGGTATCTTTTCATTATGAAAATAATCACTCAAAGTAAGATAGTCTACACAAATAAGAATTAAATATGATACATACATATATTATTTCTTTACACAAATATTCCTTTCGTTTGTGATGTATTATTGTGATATATTCTTAAATATTAAAAATTATTGGACTTGTTATAATTAATTTAATATTATACTGAGCTACCTATACAAAAATTCTGGAAAAAAAATATCATCATCACAAAGATCTTGAATGCTTGGCCTGAAATTAAAGTATATAATACACACATTTTTCCAAGACCTTTATAAGATCCAATTAACAATATATTACACATGCGTGTAATGATACATTTAAGTTACGTTATCTCACCTATGTATTTGTTTTATAATCAAGTATATAAAAACTTATTCCAAAATTTTCCTTGTGGCATTTCAAGAAATAAGAATTTTGATGACAAAACTGTAAATATGTATTTTTAATATATACTGGATATAATAAAATCAAATACAAAACATATAAATTTAATCAAGGCATTGGTTAAATTTATATGCATACATGCTTTGATAGTGTATATACAACGTATACACAATACAATGTATATACATATATCTCTCCTTTATCCTGAAACCTTTCGTTCTAAAAAAAATGTTAATTTATGCTAATTTTTGGAGAAACAAAAAAAGAACAGTCTTATGAACACATTATGTCTTATATCTTACGTACGAAAGATCATAAGTAAAGGAGAAATCGGTAAGTTACAACGCTCAGAACATATGTACTAAAAACTGACTTAGTAAAAACGTTTTCTGCTATTTTCTTGATGTTTCTGATAAAATATAATACCAATGACAACACACGCTATTATTGCGAGTGCAAGTATCAGCATGACTAGGAAAAGCAATATGCCACTCATGCCAGATTTTTTTTGATCCTCCACGCGTTCTGGAATAAACGGATATTAGAATAAAAATTACACATTTAACAACATTTTATTTGATTACATACCTCTTGGTGCATCATAGAATGATGCTGATGGCACTATTTGAGATCTGTCTTCTTTAGGCTGCAAAAATTAATTTAAATACTGTTAATTCGTTAATCATTGTCATTAAGTAGTTTATACCTTTATGACTAATGAAATATCTATTGAATATATACATTGTCATACATTTTTATATTAAAAAAATGTATGACAAAATATGATTTTAAAAAAATAAAAAATAAAAAAAAGAGTAAATTAATGCTTACATCATCTGGCAAGTCTAACTCGTACAATCGGATTGATAATATATCATGATTGTCAGACAAATCACCCGTGGTTGCAGAAATTCCAATATAATATCCTGTTGGAAGTTTAACTTCGTTCACTTGCAAGCATTGCGTCCATGCTGCTTTGTTGGCAAGATCCGTGGAAACTGTGGTATGGTAAAAAAAATATTGTAAAAAACGCATTTACATTATGTTTTTTATGATTCCAGTCGTTCAGTACGTGTATATATTTGCACAACCAAGAAACTAATTATAAAGATGACGCAATAAATAAAAAGCACAAGTTAATACAATATGACAGAACAAAATACAAGAAATAAATAAGCCTGCTATACTTGAACACATGATGCATGCTTAGTATAAGAGATGTAATATATTTTAGTTATATCTGATTTTACATACCTGTTAAAACATCTCTTTCATATCTGATAGCAATATGTGTATCATGTTCTAAATTTCTAAATTTAACTTCACACCCTGCGAGCTGCGTATGAGTACCATCACGATCATGATCGTAATGCAAAGTTCCATTGTTAATCATTGCTGAGACATAAGGATGTTTATGCTGTAACAAATACATTACGTATGAAAAAGATTACAAAGAATTGATAAATAAATATAAGAACGTTAGGATATTATAATATATGAATTTATATATATATATATATATATATATATATATATATATATATATATATATATTACTA